ATGGATGACGTATGCAACAAAAAAGATAACAAAATAAAATGCATCGGGGACCAGTGGGAATCGAACCCACGGCCTCTCGCACCCAAAGCGAGAATCATACCACTAGACCATGGTCCCTTCACGTTAATATCTTTTAAAAAATTGCATAGAATAAGTAGACCAACAGTTGTTATCTTTAAAAAAATTGGGTTTTCTAGAAGAAATCAAACAACAATCTTTTGATAATTAGCTGAAGATTGAGCCAACTTTGAAATCTTTTCAAGTGCCAAATCCTTAAAATTTCATCTCACGATCTGGCATCAATTCAAAAATTGTGGAGAAAGCCACTAACTGATTCGGTTTATGAGGCTTCCAAATGAAGAAGGGTTGTGTTGTATTTTAATTTAGCGCTAATTACAAATGGCGCCAAACTTTAAAAAAAAAGCTTTAAAAATGCAAAGCCTCAATACAACAACTCCCTCCGCTTCAAATACCATCATAAAATATGAATTTGATGAATGTTATTCGTGGGGAATGAATAACAATCAACTAGGTGTTGAGGGTGCATTTAATGAACATGAATTAATTAATTTTGTATCACAGCCAACAAGAATGAAGCAAGAAAGTTTCCTCGTCAAAGGAGAAAAGATTGCCCACGTTAGTTCTGGTGGCAGTCATACAGTTATAGTAACAGACCAATGTAATGTGTATGCATTTGGTAGGAATCAAAATGGACAGTTGGGAATAGGATCATTTGAGGATTCCCCAACACCAAAGAAAGTGGTTTTTGATGTTGTGGATGATTATATTGTTAATGTTTCTTGTGGAGACAGGCATACAGTGTTCCTTACTCATAAAGGAAGAGTTTATGTTTGTGGAGCCAATTTCAATTATCAATTAGGTTTGGGTCATAACACTAACATGTCAAAACCAGTGTTGGTGGATCAAATGATTTCTAGAAAAATAAGAAGGGCTGTTTGTGGAGCAAGACACACTGTATTAATAACTGGAAAAGGAAAGATTTATACAGCTGGATTGGGATCTTTTGGACAATTAGGCCATGGTGATTTTGCAGACCAACCATATTTTAAGAAGATTGAAGATATTGAGTGGCTTTGTTCCTCCTGTTCCACCAAGGAGCATGTAAATGTTGCCCTAAGTTCAACATATGAAGGTATGTAAACAATTTAAGTATCACATGATACCAATGCTTCAATCTTTCAGTTTATCAATGGGGAGGTAAAAATGTTGCTGGAGGAGATGACAAACGCGAAATTATGACAGTTCCAACACTATTAATGCATTCCTTAAATGGAAGAAGAATTGTGCAAGTAGCAGCAAGTACTAATCATGCTCTTGCTAGAACATCCGATGGAAGTGTTTACTGTTGGGGTTATACCTTAGATAACGCTGGTTATGTAAGATTATTGAAAAATCTTGAATTAAGCGATGAGAATATAATTCACAAGCCATTCCTTGTGGATTCTGAAAGATCTCTTTCTGAAAAAAATTTGGATTTAACTGGAAAGTATATTTTAAAGAAAAACGACCTTACTGTATATAGAAACCATTTCTTTAGTTCACAAAAAATTGTTTGGGTAGCCTGTTCAGAAACCTGTAATTATGTTGTAAATGAAAAAGGAGAAGTTTTTGTCTTTGGAAAAGGAAGATATGGTGAAACTGGCCTAGGTAAAGACAGTGCCAAGATGGTTGATTATCCTGAAAAACTGGCCATTTTGGCAGACAAAACAGTATTAAGAGTAATTGCTTCTAATCACTCTGCTTTTGCTTTAACAGGAGATGCCAAATATTTGCAAACAGACGAAAATTTAATATTCGAAGAACAAAAGTAAATTTTATTTCTGTGATGACTTGTATTGGATATATCTGTTAATATTCGTATTAATATTTCTTAGTAATTGAATATGAATAGGAAGGACAGTATATCTACTAGGGTATAATGGAGAAACTGTCAACCAACTCAAATTGAATAATTGTTTACAAACTTGCCTAACATTGAAAGTATGCAAATTCTTTTCAGTTTCCTTAACAAATAATCTTACTTCCAATACACTCTTAGGGTAAACGACAACTTCTTGTCTAGAAGAATCTTGGTCTTGATTAACTCTATCAACTCTTGCCTCTTCTTCTGACGGAGTGAAGATATAACCATAATCCTCATGGAAGTGAAGAGAGGGTGTGCTTTCAGGAGAGCTAATCTTGAAAAATTGTGTTGATGGATTGTCATTCAAAGATGTTAAATACATGGCACCTTTTAAAACACTTGCTCTAACTTTTGTCCAAGCATTTAACTCTTCCTCTGACATGTGTACAGAGGTACACTTATTTGTTGGTGCTACTTTGCAAATGGTGTACTCCCAGAAAAGATCCAATTGATTGCCTAATGCCAAACTTGACATGTATGTTGTACTTTGCTCATGAATTTTTTGAATAATGGCATCAATGACATTACTTCTCCTTCCTTCATCTGTCATATATTCAGAGCTTTCAAATATTGCTGACTCCAATAAATTACCAGGATAATCTGTCCAAACACAAGTAACGAAAAATTCTCCATTTTCTACTTCTGTAATACTGTAAGCGCAGAAAAGTATGAGTTTTAGACTCTGCAATTCTGCATAAGGAGAAGGATTTCTACTTGTATCTTGATTTAATACCATTGGTGTAAGAACAACAGATGGCTCATGAAGTAATGATGAATATCCATTCCAATTATTCCATCTCTTTTGCTGTCTTCTACACTTGTTAAAAGCTGAAAGTGAGATATGTTTCAGAGTTGCAATAGGTCGGTGAATATATGGCTCATCAACTAATTTTTGATCAACAAAGTGAATGAATGGAATGACATCGGGTATTTCAAGTTGTAAATTATCAATTATGGTTCCAAACACATTGTATAAAATTGTGGATACACTTGCTGTACTTGTAGCCTCAATTTTTTCAATCAAGTGGAATGGGAAAACAACATAAATTAAAACGCATTCTTCCTTACTATAATTGTTATAAAAGTTGATTATTCCTTGTTCGACTTTCTTTGCTGATTTTTGGAATTGTTCTATGAATTCTTCAAGTTGAATTTTTTGTGACTTAGTTCCAGATGGAGAAGGTTGAGAATATTTGTAAGCTATTGGTACGATACCATCTGTGATAAACTCGTTATGAATGGGTACATGTGTTCCCAATTTGCATATTTCATAAATAGTACTAAGATTCTCAAAGAAACCATACAAATCCGAGTATACACCATCATTTACATTAAATTGTGCAGGTTCCACACCAATAACACAGAAATTAATCCTCTTTGGTGATGCATAAGGCTCCAAAAGAGATTTTTCCCATTCGGATATAATATCTGGCTGTGAATCTAACCATTGTTCCATATATCCCACTCGTACTGTTGGAGTATCTAGTTGTAAAATGGAAGAAATATCTTTTAGTGGTCCCTTAATTGTTTCATCACCAACCCTAGATAGAATATCAGAAACCTTGTAAAGTATTGGTAGAGATTCATCTGTTAGTGTTAAATCATTTGATAAATCATCTGTTTGGAAATTGCATCTAGAAACAACTTGAATTACTTCCATAGTATTATTAGATAATTTGACGGATTTTTGTGGGTATTCACAAGGAGTTTCAGAATCTTTCCAGCAACCATCCATTATGAACGATAGAATATCACTCTTGTTAAATTCTGATTCGTTTGATATTAACTCTAATGATTTTTTCAAAATTTCAGATAGCGACCATTGACTATTTTGTTGAGGTATTATTTCAAACATATCAGTGGCATCACTATGGCAGAAATCATAGAAAAATATTTCTTCCTCAAATGATTCTTCAACATTTGAAGGAACTGCTTGATCATTAGTTTCTTTAACTTCTTCTTTCTTTTTCTTTTCCTTTTTTTCCTTCTTTTCTTTTCTTAACTTTCTTTCTTGTTCTTTTAACATTTGTGCGTATTCATTTTGAGGGAGGTTGAATAAACGATTTTCTGGATAATTCGAAGTTGGGACAAAATTAGTTCTTGTTGGATATATTCTATCCTCATTTGAAGATGAATTATAACATGGATTAGTGAAATAGGAGGAGTAATCATTTTTAGCAATTTCTTGTTTTTGATTACTTGATCTTTCGTCTTTAATTCCAACAAAACTGGATGTAAAACTGGAGTATTGGCGAGTTTGTCGTACTTCAGGTTCATAATTTAAATTCATTTGAGTGAGACCTCTTTGTAGGTCTTGAACATTTTTTCTCTGAGATTCTCTATGTTCTAAAATTTCTTTAAATTGTTTGATCTCTTCGTACGGTCTGTTTGGTGTTGAAGTCACTGATTGAGAGGGAGTTTGGGGATTAAAAGGTGTGCTATTTAGAGGTTGAATGTCGACAGGAGTTTCCACAATGGATTCAGTTTTGATTTGTGGAGTTGGTTGAGGTTCAGGTTGAGATGCTATCTCTGCATCTGAAGGTCCCCAACAATCAAAAGAGTCTAATAGCTCATTAAACTGATCTGCTGTCAAAAGTTGAGCATCTACTTCAGCTCTTTGAGATTGTGAACTAGGTTCAGGTGGAATAGTTGCATCCATTAACGAAGATGATGGTTGAGGTATTGGATTATTAATAATATTTGCAAATTCATCTATAGCACTTTCAGTAATGCTAGATATTGGATCTGTCACATTATTAAGAGTAGGTGATAGGGTTAAATTATTCGTGGTATTTTTCTTTTCTTTTCTATTATACATGTAGGCTGGTAAAACCTCTTCTTTGGCCATGTCTGTCTCAGATTGCATTTTAGTCTTCTTAGAAGATGTATTTTTTCCATTCGTTGATGCATCGTTTGATGTTCTTTTGTTATTTTTTGATGCATTATTGGATGGTGTAGAGGAAATTTTTTGTTTTTGAATTTTGGATCTAGATTGAGGATTTTGACGAGGTAAATTTCTCTGTGAAGGGAAATATCTTTCTAAACTTTGATCATTACTGTCCAAAGATAATAGATAATCATTACACTCGAATGAAATAGGTGTACCCTCAAGAAGTACAGTAACTTGGTTTTGCATATTAGAATTTTCATTACTTCTCGATTTATCCTTCTCTTTGGTTGTTAATCTACCAAGAATTCCTTTAAATGGAGTCAAAACTTTAAAAAGTTAATAACAACTATTAAAAGTCAACTTACCCCAAGAAGGAGTCTTATTCTTAGAATATGATCTTAAGCTTGATTCGTCTGTATTTATCTTTTTAAACATCTTATTCTTCAAATTGATAAAAACCTTCAATGATAAATTAGTGAAGATGATACACGACAAAGTGAATCCACAAATAGATACCATAGTGCCATTTTCTGTGCTGAAATACTTTTCACTATTTGAAGGATAAATAAATGATCCTTGTGCTTTGTGAGAATGCTCAATAATTAAAGTACTATAATATTATTAATTAATTTTTGTAATTTTGCACATACTTTCTAATCCAATTTTTGACAGACACTGTTAATAACTTGCTTTCCTCACTATTTAATTCCTTGAAATCATTGAATTGCCTTTTTTCAACTATTTTTGTTTTTGGTAAATTTTGTTTATATTATTACTAACCTGATAAATCCGATTGTTCATCAATAATTGTTTGAATATTTTGTTTTAATGATAAGTGACACCTAACAACAAAGAAAATATACAAATGATTCGGAACAAGAAGTGCATAAGTTATTAAATTATTAGTCTTCTCCAATTCCTTGATAAATTTGTATAAACTTGTAATGTCTCCTTTAATTTTCCAAACTTCTAATGACACATGATCTCCTTCCGTCCCAGAACAATTCTATTCATTAAATAATAAAACATCCAACAATTCCGAATATTATCATCCAAACAATCCGCAACAAAAAGTCATCATCAAACAATAATTTTTGATGCACATACAATTTCAAAGGCGTTTGTGAGCACAGTCATTTAAAAATATTTTTTCTTCCTGAATTTTTTAAAAATTGAATTTGCTTGTTGATATATTAATCCAGCGAATGATGATATTGTTTGGTGTTGATATAATCTGAAGAGCTATGTGATGATTAATTCATGTATTAGTAGGGTTGGATTAATTCATGAATAGTTGTAACAGTCAGGGAAGGATTATCATTCATATCACTCGAAGTATTAGACAATTAGTTTCATGCACAGTAATTTAGATCCGATTGATGTAAAAAGTCCAACTCTAGCAACCAACATTGATGCACAATCATATCTATCATGATAGATATCTGAAAAGATAACATTCAATTCCAAACAACATGAATCGAAAACAAGCTAAATTTCTAGGGAATTGATTACTCAGATTTCCTCACTTCCACTTGACGACATGCTAAATTACGGCGACTTTCATATCAAAAAAATTAACCAAACAACAAACACACTTGGATATCCTTCTCTCTTCTGCTGTGTAGGATTTTCTGATCGTTTAAATATTGTCATCAGAGAGATTATCTTCTAGAGTTGTTTGATTAACCAAGTTCAAGTATCAACTCTGGTACATTGTTTATTTAAAGAAGGATTTTGATCTTCGGAAGTTTAATTTATTTATTGAAAACACATAATGGTTAAAAGTCAGAGACCTTTCACTCGATCACATCTTTTAGTAGGTGTGATTTTGTTGGTAACTTGTTTGACTTTTGTTTATTCTGCTACCAATTCAACCACTACTACTGAACAAAGTTCAAGTCAATCGTCATCATCTACAAATCCAACATCAGCTACCACCTCAACAAATACACCAACAACCACCACAACAACAGGACGTGAATGTACATTGAGCGACTATGGATCCATTTATACAGAATGTTCATCTCCTAAAGATTTGAGAAGAGTTGTCTATTATAAAAAAACAAACTGTACTGGAGGCGTTCCTTTACCAGTTTCTCAAGAAGAATTTCCATGTAGTAAGTAGAGTTTAGGATTTGAATATTCTAAAATTCAAAGATTTGGTTTGTGACAATGGTTACTTTTTAAGTCCACCAAGTACAAAGTGTGAACCATGTAATGCTGGTGAATATAGTTTTTCTGGAACATTGATTAATGATTGGAGTGATTTACCAGAGTCATTCAAAACTAGTTGTACTTCAGAAGGTGGAAAATCATTTAGGTGTGCATCTTGGAAAGCTTCAGCAAATTCTAAATACTTTTATTCTGGAGATCAATCTAGATCATTGGGTATTGTTACTTCAAGTTTGACTTATTATGTAAATATTTTGAAAGAAGCAGGAGAAGTTCAATTCAATTTTAGAGTTGATGCAGATGCTAATGATGGATTGGAATTTTACATTGACAATACATTAGTAATGGAAAGAACAGGTTATGTTCACGAATATATTGTCAAGAGTTTCCCACTTGCAAAGGGTCCTCATATTTTGGAATGGAGATATAATAGAACTCCTCCAAGTAGTTCTTCAAAGGAAATGGCCTATTTAACTTGGATCAAAGTTTATGGAGAAAAGCTTGCAGTTGAAAAATGTAGCAAGTGTCCAAAAGGAACATTTAATGATGAGAAGGGTAAGGAATCATGTAAACCATGTCCTTTTGGTTCCTATAATGATCAATCAGGACAAAGTCAATGTAAGCAATGTCCTGATAATGAGTTTGCCTATGAAGGATCTACTTCTTGTACTCCAAAGCAAGAATGCACTTCAAATGACTATTATGCTTATCATACTCCTTGCTCAAATGGAAAGAGAACATTGGTTTATGAATGGAAGAGTCCTAGAATCTGTTCTGGGGGTGTTGCTTTACCAGAAAAGAAACTCAATCAAGAATGTAGTCAATGTCCATTGGGTATGTACAGAGAAAATGACGTCTGTCAAAGATGTTCCGGTAAGGGAGAATATTATGATACCACTTTAAAGACATGCAAGATTTGTTATGAAAATTATGCTGCTATCAAATATTTAAGATATGACCAAAATTATTTCAACGAAATTAATGGAATGCCAAAATCTTGGACTACAAAATGTATTGGAGAATGTGATAAATCCAATAATGGATGGACTTTTAATTCAAATGCTGAAACTAATGAAGCTTACTTGGATGCTGCTGGAAATGGTTATGGAGATGAAACTGTGCTTACTATTCCTATTCAGTTGCATACATTTGGTACTATTGAATTCCAATGGGAATTGCCTGATAATAATAATAAGGATGACACATCCGTTTTGCTATTCTTTGTGAATAAGACTTTGGAGACTGATATCTCTAGAGATAACTCACCAGCTAATAAGGGTACTTATAAATCCAAGTACTATCCTCCAGGTCGTCACCTTCTTAGCTTTGCTTACGACAAGTACGATACACCTTACAAGCAATCAACATTCAGAATTAGATCAATTGTTATTGAAGGTGAAGAGTACGGAGCAGCACATACTTGTGCCGAATGTAAGGAAGGCCACTATTGTACTCAAGCTACTGATGAATATCTTCCATGTAAACCTGGTACTTATTCTAATCTCAAACAAGAATATTGCATGTCTTGCTACAGAAACACTTTCCAAAACAAATGGGGTCAAAACAGATGTTTGAATTGCGGAACTGGAACATACTCTGATACAGGAAGTGCTGAATGTATTAATACATGCACCTACAATGTTCCTGGAACTGAGCTCATGTATAATATCACTGACCTTCAAGAAGCTCTTGACAGGGAATTAGGTGTTATAGGACCTCTCGCTCTACCAAATTCCACCTTCAATCTTTACTTTAGTTTGTGTCAAAAATTTGATACTGCCAATACCAAATTCTGTACTAAAGAATCCAGATCTGTAGTTTTGGAAGAGCAAAGAAGGGAAGTTACTAACAAGAATCGTAGAAAGGGATATAGAACCTATTCATGCATTGAGGATGTTTCTTACGCAAACTTGAAATACAAGCCAAGTGGTGATATGGGTTCTACAATATCCTATGATGCCTCCACTGGAAATGGTATTAAGGTTATGTTCTCTACCGATTATAGATGTCCAAACAATGGTGGTGTCTATAACACAAAGATAGATCTCAGATGTAATCCAAAAGTAGGTCTGGGAAAGCCAGTTATTCTCACTGGAGCTAATCCTGATGCCACTGTTGATGACGTTTGTACAACCAATATTCTTTGGGAAAGTAATGTAGCATGCCCAGTCTGTACAATGTACGATTATGAGAGTGTTTTGCAACCAGAATGTGAAAATGGACAAAGAAAGAGAACTTGGTACCTTAAGCCAGGAGCAACTTGCTATCCTTATGCTCCAATGTCAACTTCTCTTCCTCAATCAGAACTCGTTCCTTGTACTGTCTGTGCTGCTGAAGATTACACAACAGTAGAAACAAAGTGTGAAAATGGACGTTCTACTATCAAGTACGTGTGGAAGGAACCAAAGATTTGTCTTGATGGTGAAAGTTTACCTGCAGATAGAAGCATTACTTGTGATGAATTTGAAATTGGAAAATTAACTGCAGTGACTGCTCTTTTCGTTTTCGGTTCTGTTTTCGTCTGTCTGGTTGCTGTTATCATATTCTTCTACTTTAAGAACAAGCAATTGTACAGTCAATACGAAAGAGTTGGTGGAAAGGAAAATGAATTTGAGATGAGCCCAGGTGGCCTTGGTGAATTGGAACTCGAAGGCAGCGACGATGAAGATAGTATTGAAATGGGGTTCACCACAACCAAGAATCATCCTGAAGACGAATCTGATGATGAAGATAGAGTCTAAAAAAACTCAATTTGTAAATAGTTTCTCATCCCACAAACGATGTTGACATGCTGATCTTTCTAGTGCATCCAACACAGAGATGGGATTTCATCAAAAATCTTTAATTTTTTGTAATGAGATTTTCATTTTCTTTCAAGAGCACTATTATGGCTCCAATAAATTATTTATTATTAGTAGTTGTCCTTTTTATGCAAATGAAGTTAAGATGGTTGATGAAACAAACTTAGATGCTATCCGCTCTAACATAGAATTCCAAAGAACAGAAAACAAAATGAAAATTGAAAGGAGAGTAGTTGCGCATTACGAAGTTGTGAGGCAAGTTTTGTCAAAAAGAGTGCATGGATAAAAACGAAAGGTTTTGGGGAAAACCTCTAACAATCAATCGGTAGCTGTTTGTTCCATTAAAGCTATTTCATCAAATTATTCTTTTCTTTGCAAAGTCCTCTTCAGATGGTTGTGATATAATCCCAACCGTTACTTGTTCTCTCGAGATAATAATGTGTTTTGAATTTTCCTCTTATAGGAATAGAACAATTTTGAATTGTGTTAAAAAATTGAGTTGACATTGAGTTGTTTCTGAACCTCATTCATATAATTTAGCTTTGAGGAATCAAAAATCATAAACGTGTAAATTATGAAATACCCAGAGAAGGAAGCTGACTCCTTCTATTGCACGAACATGGGCCATCATCAAAGCCATCCAACAAGGTTCACAACACAAATTTCATCAACAAGAAAAAACTCTTCACAAACCTTTGATTCGAATGGTTGTTACACAAGTTATTAATCAGAACGGTTATGTCAATGTAACCTCTGACTACTTTAAACCACTTTGGTCCAGTGGATTGACAATGGCAAACTCTGGTGTCTTTTTATTTCTGTACACAATTTACATGATAGGATTAGTGGCCTTTCTAATAAGAGTCACGAGGAAAGTGCAACTCAAGAGAAATCACAAAATATTATTCAGCATGACAACAATATTCGTTCTCGTTCAAATCATCTTGTTAATCACGAGAATTGTTTCTGATGCCCTTCAGATTGAGTCGAGAATTCTAACAGAGAGGAAGGAGCTAGTGGGCTGGGATTTATTCTTGGCTGTGCAAATATTTGCAGGTATAATTACCTTCTTCATGTTGATCAACTTTGTAATTTTGATGGTTATCATGTTTTTCGTACAGAGAATGTTGTAAGTAGACTTATTCGAAATGTTGTTTCCAATAATCTTTTCTTATTGGATTAATTATATTCACATAAATTTCACTTAGTTGGAAAACAGCAACAATCATGAGAGCTGTCAATAAGAATACTTCAAAGATAATAGGAATAGTCATGATGATAATGGAAGGATTGTTTATAGTATTTGGAACTCTTCTAGTTATTGTCATGTCAGTGGTGGCAGGATTAAAAAAGTTTAATTTCGTCCCATCACAAGCAATGACAGCAGTATTTGCTTCTGCCTTTGCTGCAGCTGCTGTTATGATTGTATTTGTTGCATTGATGGTTATCATTTCTGGAGTTCTTGTAATCAAGACAATTCGTCAAACTTCTCGAAATGTTTTACAAGCAGTCAAATCTCAACAACTAAAGGAAACTGATTTATTATCGGCCGATAGTAGCAAATTAAGAACATCTATTGATAAGGCCAGTTTTGAGAGAAGAGTTCAATCTCCATTCAAAATTACTTTCGGATTATTGATTGGTTTAATTATTTGTGTAATTTTGGAGTTGATTGCAATTGCAGTGGCTTCCATTGCAGCAGATGTTGAGGAGGTGAAATTGATTTGGCAGGCATTGAATTGTGCTGCTGTTTTGATTTTTGGAGTGTTGATTATTTTCCTCTTTTATCCATTGTTTATGGACACTGAAAATGCATTGAATGAGATTGAAAAGAGGAAGGAGGGAGCAGAAAGGAAGAAACAAATGGCAGCCTCAATTGATGATGGAAGATCAGTAACTTCGAGTGGTGAGACAACAGAACTTGCACAGACGAATCCACTGAATGAAACACCATCTTCGCAATGTGTAAGTGTGTAAATTGTAGTTCTAGATCTAGGGAGTTCACATTATTTGAAATTCATTAATGAATTATCACCATGTTCTTATTCATCTTATATTTAAGAATAAATATTGAAATAATGAAATTTATTAAAATTTCTTTTTCTTCGATTGTGTAAATGTTCCCTTATATTGACGTTTCTTACTATTGCTATATTTGTTATCTTCCTCATCATTGGTGATGTAAGAATTGAAATATTTGGCAAATTGTTTACAAGTGATTAAGAAGGATTGATCTTGATGAATGTAAATCCTTCTCCAACACAAATCTGGGCTAACTCGCAAAATAGTTGATAATAAAGATTCCTTATTGATATTAGTTGGAGAAATTAATGCATCGAAGGCATTACTAAATGAGTTTCTAATTGAAAGTAAAGCACTAGAACCCTTTGATACATTGTTAGATGGATTAGTTGGATCAATAATGTTTGGTGTGAATTTGAGAGAGGATGAATAACCTGATCTGATTTTCATTTGGTATGGTAAATATTTACCTTCGTGACTTGGACTAATTGCAGCGAAATAATAATTGAAATATCTTCCATAGAGTGCGAAAAAGTCCAAAAGTAAGGTGCCTAGTGAAGTAACATCTCTTTCTTCAATACTAGAGTTACTTGTATGCATTTGTAAATGACTAACAATCATCAAACTTAATCCATAACTAGAAAGTCCTCCATAAAGAACCATATTTAAATTTCTTTGTTTTAAGAAATATTTCAAAAAGTAACATAAATATTTAAAGGCAGGATACTTTTCACTACTTCTTCTAATAAATTCTACACTTGAATCTGTATCAGCATTATTGCAAGATACATCAACTTCTTGAAGTGAAATTGCTTCCTTAAACTTGATAATTGGTACATTTGCATTTCTAATGAAATTAATTTCAACAAATTCTGTTGATTTGTTCAATTCTCTGTTCAACTTTTCCAAAAATACTTTTTGAGAGAGTGATCTTGAAAGTACATGTAAATCCAAATCACTACCAGGTAACATTAATCCAGCAGGATAACTACCAAACATTTGGATTCTACAGTTAGGATCCACATTTTTACATAATCTCATAACCTTTTCCAATACACGTTCTCTAACAAGTTCTTCTTCTTTTGTTTGTTTTACAAAATTATAAAAGTCAATTAATTCATAATGAAGACGTAAAGGAGGAGGATATGAAGAATAATCTTGAGTTTGCCATGGAATTGTTGTTTGATATTTAGCATAGGCATTATGAGCTTCATAGTTATATTGGTGGTTAGAAATGGTATCATCAATTTTGATGAATCCTTCTGTACTTTCCTCTTCATTATTCTCTTTAATTTCAATAACATCATCATTATCAACAACCACTGATGGACTTTCTGGTTCAATATACTTTGGTTTTTCATCAATTACCTTCTCTTCTTCATTTGTTTCCAATGTACCACTACTAGTTGTACTACTATTAGTGGCAACAGTTGTAGGTGTGACTTCTTTGTTAATTGTTATATTACCATTAATTTCCTTCTTTTTACTTTTAATAGCAGCAAGCCTTTCCTTCATGGAATTTGATAAAATTGGTTTTCCATCAATTTTCTGTTGCAAAGCCATATCAATGTTATAGTGATGAGACCATTGAGATTGAGCACTAGAGAATAATGACAAAATATTGTCTCTAGTCTTTGTGACTTGAGCAATCTTGTTATCAACGTTCTCTGCTACTTTTTCTTCCTCTTTTTGTTGTTCTGGTTCTTTTTCAACTACTTTCTCTTCCTTTTCCACAATTTTTACATCCTCTCCGTCATCATTATCGTCATCACTATCATCAAAACTAATAAAATCACGTGGTTTTTGATTTTTCGAGACAATGTTCATGTCCTCCTCTTCATCCGATGATGAATCCTGCAAAAAGTTGAGGTTGAGAGGCATTTTTTTCACTCTTCAATTTTTACATTGTTTATTGAATTATTAATAAATATTCAATCTAGTTTTTGAAATTCTTTATTTGGCTTTTTTAATGTTTTATCATGCTGATTTGAGAGTAAATTTATTGAATTGTTGATGTTTTGGTAATTAATTTTCTTACCAATTTAATTTAAAGAATTACTGTTGAATTGTTTCGTCTTTTTAAATTTTAATAAAGACTTCTTTAAATTTGAGAAATTCTCTTTAGATTTTAAAATGAATTAACTTTGAACTGATCAGGCAAAGATTTTCAAATTTTGAAATTTTACTAAATGAATGGACCACTTTTCTCCGATAAATCCTCAATGAAGTGGACCAATAACATTGTTATCAAAGGGTCGAATCCTAGCAAGGTGCTAGCTTGCTGCAAGTTGAGACCAAAATATCGTTAGAAATATCCACAAACAAAATTTGAAAAAAATAGGAACGTAAATTGTAGGGAAAAATGTTGTCGATTAATTCGAGGTAGGTAGATGAAACTTTAAAAGTGATGACTCTAATTGCGCGGAATGTAGAGAACTGAGGAGTCATCCAGATATTAATGTTAAATGGAGATCACTGATAGCAGAGTTGGTAGGAACATCTTTGGTATGTGGATTTATATGATGATGAAATTAAAATTATTTGTGTGATGATAAATAGTATATATTTGTTGGAACAACTGCTGCATCATTATCTTCGGGAGAATTGTTTCAATCATCGCTAAGTCAATTATTTGCTCAATTAGCCTGCTTCCATATATTTGCACCAAGTATGTAGTTTCTCATAATAATAGTAAAATAGTTTATTGACAATTAATAGTTAGTGGAGCACATTTCAATCCGATTATAACTTTTGCAACCATGATAACGAGAAATGTTGGAATACTTTCCGGAATTTTGTACATAGTAATGCAATTAATTGGTGGAATTATTGGTGCAAGTTTTTGTTTACTAGTTACTAAAACAAGTAAGTGTGATGATAGTTCTATTACAGTGATATATCATTAAATTTATTAGCTCAACCTGCTGTGTTTCAGCCTCCAGAAGATATTGGGGATGCTTTTAGAGTGTTTGCCTTAGAAATTGTGACAGGATTTTTTGTTGTTATTTCTATATTTGGATCGTTGATAAAATCACAACATTTGAGTCAAGAAACAGGATTGGAACCAATCAGTTCAGTTGTTGCAGCTGCTCCAGTGGCATTATCAATAGGAGCAGGATCCTTAATTAATGCTTGTATGAATCCAGCCCGTGCCTTAGGTCCTCAAATATTGTCATGGACATGGTACTCAAATTCATGGGTTTATTATACAGCACCATTCATTGGAGGTGCTTTAGGAGGTCTTTTATTTGAATTTATAATTACAAAGCCACGTAGAAACTATGTTGCGTAAGTATTACTCAATTTTACAATTATTTACATTTCCTTGGAATAGTTTGAAATAATTATATATCGTATATATTATTAATTAATAAATTCAATGAAATAGATGGCGTATTAATGTCAAACTCAAAATAATCTACTCCAGACTCATCTCCAACTGTATTTCCAAAACTTGTAGTATCTACCTTAGGAATCTCAAATTTTTGATTCAGAACATTCTTAATACCGTACAGATTTTCCGAATTATAGAATTGATCATCTTTGTTTTCTGAATTAGTATGGGTTTGAGTTGCTTGACCAAATTCAGTATTACATGTTGCCTTAACATAATAGGAATACTGATTTGTTAAAAAGTTTGACAATTTCTCTACTAGCAACACTTCACTTGGTTGAATTTGATTATAACCTGAAGCAGTTCCAAGATGCATCATTCTCATAAGCACATAATTATCTGAAATTGTTTGTAAATTTGAAAAGATAGTTTGTTGTTCAGTTTGATGTTGATAAAAAATCGATGCCTGAACATTTGAGGTTGAAACAATGGTGTTATCTTCACTAAAAGTGAAATCCCTACTACGACCATTTTGAGAAATCTTCATAGTGACTTTGTAAATGTACTTCTTTCCAACCATTCTATAGACCTGGTAGGCTCTCCTTAATCCAGTGTATGAAGAGGGCTCTTCTTCCTTCAGACAAAATACTCCTGTTCCCCTCTTGCCATTCAAACAGCACAATACTCGTTTAGCTTCAAAACACTTATTCATCGGATTCACTGCACATGAAATACTTGGCTCAAACAATTCATACTTGTTGTAAATGATTTGATTGTCTTTGGCAAAGAAAACTCTTGCCCTAGATGAGATGATTTTTGTGTCAAATTTAAGAGTGGTTCCCAAATCAATCTTCTCTCCATTATTATCATAAGATGAATAGGAAAGAGAATCAAATGAATTGGAGGAAGCATTATTGACAATTTCTAATGAGGCAGACGTGCATCGAGTGGTTGAGGTTGAATCATCACATGCGAAGGATCCGAAAGAGACTGTGTTGATAGATGCCTTAGATATGATGATAAATCCAATAAAGAAAAGAGTGAACAATAAAAGAAGGTTTAAAAATCGTTGTGAATTTTTCATTCTTTTTTTTTTACAATTATGGCAGTTTCTTATTTTGTATATTTGAACTACAGTTAACATTTTAGAAATTCAAGATAACATGCAATGTTTATATTTTTTCACAATACTACAACAAACTTCAATGTGTAATACATTTGTAGTGCTCTGCAAAATTTATGCGAATTAAAATTTCGCGCCAAAATATTTACAGATTGAAATGTTTGTTGAAAGAAGTACACTGTATAATCAGAGAGTGGTTTCATTGTTTTATAGTTATCGAGAATTTTTAAAAATATCAAATCAAACAAAAAATGTTATCACTCTTTAAGAATTTATTCGGATTCGGGAAGAAGAAGAAGGATGAGTTGAAAATAACGGTGATGCTTATTGGTTTGGGTGAGTAGAAGAAGAAATTAGAATTCTGAAGGTCTAATCAATTGTATTTTTAATTATCATCAATTTAATTATTGGATTAAAATTGTAAATACAAAATAGATAATGCTGGTAAATCAACATTCTTAGCCTCTCTTAAGGGACATGCGGATTTTAAACCAATGCCAACTGTTGGATTCAACAGAGAAGTGTTGAAACATGAACATTATGAAATTACATATTTTGATGTTGGAGGTGGTGCAAATATTAGAGCCATTTGGCCAAATTATTTTCCATCAGTAAGTTTAATTTCATTGGTGATGATTTGAATACAAATATCTAATTAGATTCACGGAGCTATTTTCGTTATTGATTCTGCAGATGAAAAAAGATTGGAAGAGTCTCGTCAAACACTTGTGGACAGTATAAAGCATCCATACTTTAAAGGAAAACCTCTCCTATTGTATGTTTGACTATTATTTAAAAATTTAGTTAACATTTCAATTAGATTGGCAAATAAGCAAGATTTACCGAATTCATTAGAGCCTTCAGAAATTTCAGAACGATTACAATTACACGAGTTGACCGAATATGTTTCCAGTTTCAACATTTTGCCATGTATTGCTAAAAGAGAATTGACGAAGAATAAGACTGACGAACATATAGTGAAAGGATTGGATTGGCTCAGTAGCCAAATTGAAAAGGATTTAGAAACCTTATGTTCAAGAATTGAAAAGGAAGAAAAAGAATTTGAGGACGAGGAAAAGAGGCTTGCTGATGAAAAATGGGAGAGAGTGAGAAAGATGAGAGAAGAAAGAGCAAGACAACAAGAGGAAGAAGAAAGGAAAAAGAAAGAACAGGAAGAAGATGAAAAATCATCTAAAAAGAGTAATAAAGACTGATTTGTAAATAAATAAGAATATATTTAATATTTTAATCCGAATGAACAACTCAAATAATTATCATAAAGTGATGGCCAAGCATCATTAGAATCATAATTTGAAAGGTTGGCAGAAATATTAGATGAAAAATCAACAAATATTTTCCATTGATCTAAATTAATTGATCTAATTGGATTATTTGATGAAATTAAAAAATTAGAAAATGATTCTGTGAAAGGACTTCTACCTGTCATTAATACTTTCAAAGCATATCCTGCTACAGTTGCATCAATTGATCTACTCTTTTCAGATTCTCTCAATATTTTAAATGTAACAGTGAACAAATTCTTCATTTGATCATTGTTCCATGTTTTAGATTCTTCTGCAACTTTATCAATTTGATATCTGAGTTTCTGTACATTATCACATTGTAAATTGAACATTCCAAATGTCCATTCACTTCTTGATATGGAAAGTTTAGTATTGAAATTAAATAAGAATACAAATATGAAATATCTATAATCAAAGAAAGATTTGAAACCAAGATCTCTATATAACCTTAGTAAACCTGATCCATTGAAAGATGAACTAAAATCATAACAACAATTAAAATATTCTTGCGGACTCATTTTGATCACATTAACATCATGCATGTCATCTACATATCTATTAAAATTCATAACACATTCTTCCATATTAAATTTTGAAAACCATGGATCGGTTAATTGTGGCTTGTAAAATAATTGAAATGGTGAATTCATAATTAAACTACTACTAGCAACTGTTGTAGAGCATTCGTTAGTTTGTTCATGATATTGTTTTAATTTTTTAGGCTGTCCTTCTTCTGTTGTTGGTATTTGAGATGAATGTGTTGGTATTATTGTACAGTCGGTTTGATGTGATGGATAATGTATTTTTGTTGGAGATGAATAAACTCCTGTTGAATATCGTGATTGTCTTTGTATGCAAGGAGTAATTATAAGAGAATTATTTTCGTCATGATCGTCAATTTCTTCTTCATCTTCCTTCTTCCTCTTCAGTGAGTGAGAAGGAATTACTGTTATGGTAAGCGGAGCCTGTAGTTTAGGCAAGTTATAGCATTGCGTAGGCATATGTTCGAACATTTTTTTTCAAATTATGAGCCTAAGAAATTTACCACTTTTGTGAGGAATTTATTCAATAACGCGCCAAAACAAAATCTTATGTTCGCAGGAAATTTTAATTGTAATCCACTTCTACTTGTCTTTAGAAGTATTTTCATTCCATATCATCCAAGAAGTTGTATTATCTTTATTTGATCCATGGATAAGAAGAGATATTCAACAATAATGTTGTGGATTTCAACAAGATTTTGATCTTCCACTTAGTAATTATTTGGTGATATTTTTAGATTGGAAAATCACGTAAAATTTCGTTTTCTCTTTTGTAACCAAATTCACAATTTTGATGAAAGTCCAAGCATTTTGAGATAGGTCTCATTGTTTTGTTCCACCAATTCTTGATGAGATCCTTGTCCAGCAATTTTACCATTTGAAAGAAGTACAATCTTATCTACTTGATCAAGATAGGTCATATCGTGTGAAATCATTAGGAGGGTTAATTGATTTTTTCTAATATGCTTGAATAAATTTGGGAAAATAACATCTCTCTTCTTAATTGGATCCATAGCACTTGTACTTTCATCTAGAATAATAATTTTGGCCCTCTTTTGCAGATAAATTCTTGCCAATGCCACAGATTGTGCAAAGCCACCACTAAGATTACTTCCTCTAGATTCTGTTTTCATTTCTAATATTTTCTTAACTTTCTTTTTGGAGAGTTTTTTCTTTGGCTGATCAGCAAGTAAAAGCTCATCTATTGTCTTTTCATTAGGAAGTATTGCAACAGGATTAGATTCAACTGTTGTTGTCGTAAATCCATTGGAATTGATAGATGCCTCATCAAATGTAAATACACCAGCATACTTTGCAGCTCTAATAATTTCCTTATCTGTTGGAATATAATCGATACCAACACAAATATTATCTTTGATTGTACCAGGAAAAACATAAGCTTTTTGGGCTACATAGTAAACTATCTCTCTAATTGAATTTCTATTAATCATCTTGTATGGAATATTATTGAATGTCATTGTTCCTTCTTGTGGGGCATATAGCTTGGTAATTAAATTAACAAGAGTACTCTTTCCACTTCTGTTTTGTCCAATAATAGCATAAATTGAATTTTTCTCAAACTGTAATGGAAGTATTAACTTGAAATAAATATTCAAAATGATACATACTGTAATTTTTCCAGAGAAATTCAAAGCATATGGTTTTTTACCACCCTTTTGGTAAGAGAATGTGATATTGTGTAGTGTAATATCATTAAAGTCATCCACCTTTATCAATGACTCATCATTAATCTCATCTTGGAAGTTTGGAAGTTTCATTAATTTTACAACTCTTGTTTGTCTTTCAACACTTCTGGTTGCTTGCAAGACATAGGTTCCTGTTCTTCTTACCAATTTTCTAATTTAATTAGTAAGCACATCATTAATTAAAAACTTACACCAAGTGATCAATGTCTATTTGTAATTTTCTATATTGTTCATAATTTAAATCTTTCTTTTCCATTATCATTGATGCAACAAATGTTTCTGATAGAAAATCAAATACGCTTCTATTTGTAAAAGAACTATATAAACGATTGAAAAATAATCTCAAATCTTCAAATACTCCAAATTCACTTTGAACAATATTATCATACTCTATTAATTTCTTTTGTTGAATATTGTTCAATTGAATTTCAGTTAATCCTTCAGTTATTTGATCAAATAAAACTGCTACGCTTTGATTACTTTGGAGATTAGCTAAAACTTTCTATTTAAAATTAGATTAGAATTGAAATGCGTTTTTTGAAACTTACTCTCTTTCCTGTCATTTGAGTCTTTGTCCAATCTATAATTCTCCAAGTTATCATTGATGCAATTGGTCTAGCAATTAATAACCAATCAAGTTTTGCTCTTCCATCATAGAGTTCAATACTTTCTCTCATAATAGCATAGAGTGATGATAAAATGTTTGGTACCACAAAACTGAAAAGTCTCAAAGTATTATGAATTTCAGTAGAAATTCTATATTCCAATTCTCTTCCTTGGAATTCAGAAAATGCCCAAACCTCACTATATAAAATCTTTTCTAAAACCAATCTCTTTACATAGAGTCTATTCATTACTGTAACTTTATAATTCAAATGTCTTTCAATATTTTCCAAAAGAGTATATAGTACAGTAAGGAAAATATATGATTTTGATGAATCCCAATTAAATGATTTTCTATCAATCATGGTATTTGTAATTGTATTTTTCTGAGTTCTTAAATTTCTACCAATTTTTCTTCTAGAGAAATACCAAGGAAGAGATTCTAATAAAATTGGAAGTCCATAACTAACAAATAAATTCATGAAGAATTGTACTTTCTTTGTTTTCCATAAATATCCATAAAAAACAACAACTGGTGTGTTTTTCAAATGATCCCAAATTTCTCCACAAAATTTAAGAAATAACTCTCTACTAGAAAGTGCATGTAAAATATAAATGACAATACTCGGAATATTCTTTACGTTTTTATAATATTGTCTTAATTTCTTTCTAATTTTCATCAATTTGTTCATAATCCCACTAGATTCCTTTGACTCCAAAAGTTCGGAATCATCTTCCTCCTCTATAAGTTCCTCATCGTAAACATCCATCTGTTGTTATTGTTGTAACTCATTGACAACAAATTTAAATGTAAATTAGCGAGAGAAAGAAACACGAATTGTTCTTTAATTTTTTTTAAAATCATCAAGAATGGTTTTTTTCCAAATCATCTCACACATAATATGGCAAACACCGGAAAATTGGACATCATATCAACATTAACAATATTGTAAAACATTGCAAAGTAATAATATTAAACATCAACAAGACAAGAAATAAACAAGTAAAAGATGAATACAAAATTTATTTCCTCGCGCAAGAAGAAATGCAACGAGTAAATTTTTAAATAAAATTAGAGTAAAAAAATTGCAAGCTTTTATTGCTGAAGAATATATTGGACAACCATCATTGATTTTTGTTGTTGTATTATACATACATTAACATTAAATATTAATAGTAGTAGTATATTTCAACAATAAACTCCGCAAAAAGGGTTGCTCATAGTATTTTAAATATTAAAGATTATTAATTTTTGATCACTCTATTTAATTATGGCCGAGGATAGTGATAGTAACAAGGAAGAATATTTAGAGGATGAAGAAGAATATTCTCTTAAAATAGCTGATGGTGATGATGGTAGTGATTATGATTCTTCAAAGGAGAAAAGAAAAAGGAAAAAAGGTTCCACTAGGAAAAAGAAAACACCAAAGAAAAAAACAAAGGAAAAAGTTGTTAAAGTGACTGTTAAACTTGCAGAACCATCATCAAGTAAAGATGAACCTGAAGATGAGCAAGAAATGTCGGATGAGGAAGATATTGAAGAGGAAAAAACACAACGTAAGCGAAGAAGATCAAGGAAAATAGTTGAAATAGATCCTAATATTCCAGCTGAAGATCAACTTCCTGTAAAATTCGGAACGTCACAAGTTGTTGCTCTTGGTAAAATTGAATTTGAAAATGAAAATTATCACAATGATAGATACATATTCCCAATTGGATATAAGGCAGAGAAAAACTACATGTCTTACAAAAATCCAGGGGATAAGACTGTTTATATTTGTGAAATTTTAGATGGAGGTGAAGAAGGACCAACTTTTAAAATTACACCAGCTGATGACGACAATTCATTTACATCATCAACACCTAGTGGGGTATGGTCACTCGTAATTAAGAAAGTAAATGAGTCAAGAAAGAAAAATTCAAAGACATGTACAGTATCTGGTCCTGAATATTATGGCCTTTCAAATGCTAGGATTAGACAATTAATTGAAATGTTGCCAAATGCTGATAAATGTGTAAATTACAAAAAGAAGTTTTCAAATAATGACGAGGTTGAAACTACAGAAGCAACTGAAACAGTTACACCAAAAAGAGGAAGAAAAAAGAAGGAAGTAAAAGAGACAGAGACACCTAAGAGAAAAAGATCTGTCAAAAAGGAAATTGTAGACGATGCTCTTGAAGAGGAACTAGAGGAAGAACCTATAAAGAAAAAGAAAAAGGTTAAAAAAGAAGAAATTGAGGAAGAAATAATAGATGAAGAAATGGAAGAAAAGGAACCAACCGTTGATTTCTGTGATCCAATTTACTTTGAGAATGATGATCGTCTCTCTGAACCGGTCTATAAGATGTATAGAGAACCATTACCTACACTGCGAGAATATCAATTTACTAACTATACTGAAAATATTTCAGCCTATGGTGGTCATAATGAAAAAATTTATTTGAAATTTAACATGTATACCATAGAAGAAGTTCAAGAAATTTACAAGGAAAAACAAATCAAACTTCCACAAAAGGTAGAATTGGAACTCGCTCAACCAATAGATAATGAACGCAAAGAAAGAGCTAAAAAGGCAAAGGAAGAAAAGAAAATTGTTGAAGAATATGAAAAGGAAGAAAAGAGAACGAGTTTGGAAATTTTAAGATCAATGTGGGAATTACCATATGTTTTTGTTGGTTTTCAACTTTTAAGGCCAATACTTAAAATTACAGAGTTCGATTTTGATGAGTTTGAAGATTCTCTAATTAATCCTCGAGAGTGTAATGGCTTACTGGCAGATATATTTATAAGGTTAGTTAAAGGACCTGCCATAGATAGAAAAACTCTCGTAAGTTTGGATCCAAAATGTGATAAGTGGAAGACTGTTCTGAAAAATAAGTTAGATTCACTCCCTCCAATTTATTGGTTATGGAAAGTCAATCCTCTCATTTTATACGAGTACTATGATTTAACACCAGCATGGAGACTGATAATAATCAAAGCTCTCATGGAATGGAAATTTGAAACAAATCAAAGAGTTTATGACTATTCTAGAAGCAAATATGGCATCACAATGCTTGTTGATCCTATTGGATCGGACCAGGATGGTATTAAATATTGGTACTACGACAGTATTGGTAAGCTTTTTGCAGAATTACCTGCATCACTGTATTCAGAAACAAAACCTCGTTGGGAAATTAAATGTTCCACTAAAAAAGAGTTTGAAGATTTTATTGAGGAGCTCAAAAAGATTAGTGAGGAACTCGAAGAGAATAGTGAAGAAGCCAAATCTGTACCTCTTTTAATATCCTCTCTGGAAGCAATAGTTAACGAGTTGCCTGAACCTGAACCTGAGCAAGAACCATTAAGTGTTGAAGAAAAGAGAAAATCCAGAGAAGAACATCTCACTATAGTTGCAAAAGAGAGAGAAGAAGAAATAGAGAAGCAAAATGAGAGTGAAGTTAAAGAATTCAAAGAGCCTGAACCTGCTGAAACTGAACAAGCAGAACCAGCCGCATCAAGTGAAAATAATCAAACTGTCTCAAGAAGTGGAAGATCTATTAGGAAAGATTTTACTTCCCTTGTGGATGAAGACGAATTAGATGAGTCTAAAAGAAGTCTTAGACCAAGAAAGAGGAAATCTTACAAGGAAGCAGAAGATGAAGATAAGAAGGCTGATAAGGATGCTGAATTTGTTCTAGATGAAGATGAAGATGATGATGAAGACTTTTATTCTGAAGAGGAAGAAGAAGAAGAGGAGGAAGAAGAATATGAAGAAAAGAAATCGAAAGCATCAAAGAAAGGAAATTCCAAAAAAGTCGATTTTACTCAATTCAAGGCTGATCCCACAAAAAGAAATGTTCAACAAAATTCGTTCACTAATGTTAGTGGTGTGAATTTTAATCCTTTGAATAGATCTGGTAATGTTATGCAGCAAATGCAACAAAATAGGAATATTATGCAACAAAGAGTTAATAAGCCTCAAACAGTCATTATGACAGGTTCAACAATTCAAAATAATTTGAGAGATGCCCAAAGCTCAAATATGCTTAGAAATCAAATGATCCAACAACAGCAACAAATGTCTAGAAATGCTCTTCAACAGCAATTAGCACAAAACCCTGCCTTACGTAACCAAGTTTTGCTTGCTCTCCAGAATAACCCTTCCCAGCAACAACAAATCCTTCAAGCTCTCCAAATGAGAGCTGTTCAGCAACAACAAGCTCAACAACAAGCAAATATGCAACAACAAAATATTGCTGGAGTTCAAAATATGTCGAATATTTCAAACGTTGGAAACGTTCAAAATCTTTCATCTTTAACACCAGGACAATTGAACGTGTTGGCACAAATGAACGAGTATCGTAAACAACAATTACAAAGTCAACAATTACAGAATCCACAACAACAACTACCTCAAAATCCACAAGGAATGACAAATCTTAATAAGATAATATTGAATAAGCCACCAGAAAACACTGTAAATAATGCACCAACAGTAATTAATCCAACCATTAACCAACCTACCATTCTTAATCCTCCTCAAATGCAAATTCAATCCCAAAATCAAAGCTCATTACTTCTTCAACTTCTCCAACAAAATACTGCTGCTCAACCACAGCAACCACAACAACCACAACCACAACCACAACCACAACAATTCCAAACATTTAATCCTCTCATGCAACAAACTGTTGCCATGCAAAATCCTCAACAACCAATCATTAATCAAATGGGATCTTCTTCTCAACAACAAGATCAATCTGAGATGGATGGATTATTCTTAGGGGAAGATTCATTCGTTTAAGGAAAAATAAATCTTGAATGGAGAAAACTTTTTTAAATTGTTTAATGTTTTACAACTTTTGCACAAAGACAAACTATGTCATCTATTTTTCGGTGTTGGTTTCTTGCAATTTCTGCAAGCTCCCTCGCTAACTTTGGAACATCATCTATGCTACCATTTGGAAATATTTCATTCACATATTCTGCCACATAATCAGTTTTGATATTATCGAAAAGTCCATCACTTCCCATTATAATAATATCTTCTTCTTTGAGAGTTATAATATTAGTTTCTGTCACAGCATCTGAAGGGCTATCATGAAAATATTCTTTTGTTTCAATCATTCTTGGAGGTAAAAAGCTTAATTGATATGGTGCTTTACCTAAACCATTAATAATACGTGAACGATCCTTAGCAACAAATAATGTCTGTTGTTGATTTTCTATTTCAGATTTTCTTAAAATCATAAAACCACTATCTCCAATATTGGTATAACTTAGAGAACAGGTTAAACTATCAAGGTGTAGCACGCATGCCGTCGTACTACCAAGAGGTTTATCAATATTCAATTGATTATAATATTCTAATTCTTTGTCATATGCCATTGTTAAAATTTCATTTGGTTTCAATACTGTTCCATTGTGAGAATTAATTAAACATTTTTCTTCCTCACTTGCATAATATTTACAATTATTCATTATATCTCTGCTCACTTTAGATGAATCAACTCCATATGATGACCAACCACCTACACCATCGGAAACTCCTAAATAATAATTAGTATAAAAGTAAAAATCTTCTCCAAGGTTTAATTCGTCCTCTCGTAATTTTGAAAGATCCGAATAATCATAGTATTGTATTTTAGAAAATCCATATACTGATGCAAGAAAACGATATCTTGTTGTTTTTGATGAACAAGAACATGAAATCAACCCATTAGCATCCTCCTTGCTATCAGATAACGATGATGTTATTGTACTTGAAGATTCATCAATCATTTTTTTGGTCTATTGCTTATATTTGTTACTACTTGTTTAAAGTAATTTTATCCACAAAATCACACCACCAATTTTCTATTATTATCGGATGATATATTTTACTACACTGATGAATATATAAATTATATATAATTGAGAGAGTCTTGCAAAATCCACAACAAGAAAAACAACAATAGAACTATTTGTGTAAACCTCTCCTCTCCCTACAACACAGCGATGATGATGATACGAGTAGTAGCAATTATCAAATGATGCAAATTTTTTTCAAAAACAAGAATAAAAAACGAAATCACAAAGAGCCCAAAAACCTTCACAAAAAATATGAAAAGGAAAAAAACTGGTCGTTCCACAGATCAGACCTGAGTTGATTCTCTGCTGCTTACTCGTGATAATGGTCCAACTTGGGACCTTGTAAAAATCAATATACAATTTTTGATCATCTTAGAGAGGAACGTACCGTTTTTGATCCAGTGGGTGGTGACTCTTAAAAATCATGAAATGAATTTTTTCAAATATTTTGAAAATTGTTCAAAAATATCAACATGTACATTTATGTGAATTATACCAAAAATGAAAATGTTGAAGATTGAAAAACAACAATATCAAGTAATAGCTTGCATTGAATTGTTTGAATTGCCTAGCTGATGAATATTGTGTGTTTTTTAATATTGAATTTGCAAACAATATACTTGCCAGAGGATTCTGCATTCTATGATTGACGTGTTGAAACTGAACCGAACTTTACAATACGATTTTTTGCTTGTTCAATAAAATCATCCTAGTGTTTCTTTCAAAATATTGCAAGCAAAAAGTAGTATCATTTGTTATCTTTTCCAACAACAATATATTACCCAAGCCTCTAGCAAAATATTGAGAGAATGCAATCTAGAGAGTTCTAGAGTACTTTTTAATGGATGAGAGGCTTTTTTGTTTTGCTTCAAATGAAGGACAACGGAGATGACCAAAAATCGACACTAAAAAAATGAAAGCCTTTTCAACCCTCTTGCGCAAGAATAATAAATCAGCTAGCATTGTTAACGCTGCTAGAAACTTCTCAACAAAGAATAATACTACTCAAATTGCTGTATGTATATCTTCATTGGATGAATTAATTTACTGTAAATTTGTATTTTTGTTTTTTTCATGTATGAATGATTACGACCCGATTGTTTTAATATTTACTTGTGCTACAATATATGATGTGGATAATGATGATCTTTGTATTCTTTGGATGTTTATGAAATTTACTTTATCGATGGAATGTTTATTAACCATTTTGATTGGATTAACAACAACAAATGATAATGCAAACACAACAATAATACTAAATATATATTAATTATAATTACATTTATTCAACAATAATAGATTACCAACAGAGATGCTGCCAACAAGGCTTTAGATGAAGAATTGGCCCGTGATGAAAAAGTTTTCATTTTGGGTGAAGAAGTTGCTCAATACAATGGTGCTTATAAAATTACAAAGGGTCTCTATGACAAGTATGGTGCTCATAGAGTCATTGATACTCCAATTACCGAAATGGGTTTTGCTGGTATTGCTGTTGGTGCTGCTATGGGTGGTTTGAGACCAGTTTGTGAATTCATGACATTCAACTTTGCTATGCAAGCTATCGATCAAATTATTAACAGTGCTGCTAAGGGTCGTTATATGAGTGCTGGTCAAATCAGTTGTCCAATTGTTTTCCGTGGTCCAAACGGTGCTCCACCTGCTGTCTCTGCTCAACACTCTCAAGATTATGCTGCTTGGTATGCCAACTGTCCAGGTTTGAAGGTTGTCTGTCCATGGAGTGCTGAAGATTATAAGGGTTTGATGAAGGCTGCTATTCGTGATGATAACCCAGTTGTTGTTTTGGAAAGTGAATCTTTGTATGGTCAAACTTTTGAACTCTCTGATAGTATTTATAATGATAAGGACTTTGTTATTGAAATTGGTAAATCAAAGGTTGAACGTGAAGGTAAGGACATTACCCTCGTTGGTTATGGTCGTGCCATGAATCACATCTTTGCTGCTGCTGATAAGCTCGCTCAAAATGGAATTAGTGCTGAAATTATTAATTTGCGTACTATTCGTCCAATGGATATGGTTCCAATCATTGCTTCTATTAAGAAGACTAACAGATTAGTTACTGTTGAAGAAGGTTGGCCAACTTGTGGTATTGGTGCTGAAATCATTGCCCAAGTTATGGAATCAGAAGCCTTTGACTATTTGGATGCTCCAGCTTACAGATGTACTGGTGTTGATGTTCCAGTGCCATATGCTGAAAATATTGAACAAGCTTGTTGGCCAAATGCTGATGTTATCATTTCTGCTGTTAATAAGACTCTCTACAGAAAGAAATAAATTGAATTAATTTTTATTTTTAATTTGAAATTTTTGAAATTAACAAGATTTAAGATTACTGATCTAGCCAAAATAATAGTCTAAAAGAATGCTCATGAACCATTCAAAGTTGTGACATTAGTTACAAATTGCGTAAATGAGTAACATTAAAATTATTAATAAAATCTTATTAATCAATTCTGAATAAGCACACACACTGAGTACTCATTCTAAGGAGTAAAATAGACTATCCAATTTTAATGAAATTGATGTTGAAATTTTTAATGTTGATGTAGTGATGGGTCGGAAGATAAATGGAATTTTTTCACTGTATTGACAAGTAGTCTTTCGGTTGTACCACTTTAAAACATTTAAAAAATGGGACAAAATGTACGTGTTGTTGTATTATCGATAAAATTTATCATCAAAATGTCATTTAAACATTTATTTGTGAATTTAATCTGCCAATGATCAATATATTGACATTTGACAATGATCAGAGTACAACACCTGATGAGTTGGAGTCTAGCAAGGAATTTACTGGACATGCCAAGAGTATTTCCACACTTCAATATTTCAATGGAAAGCTTTATTCTGGTTCTCATGATGCGACTCTCAGACAATGGTATGTTGTTGTTTCGAATATTGTTTAGTTCTTATAATTTAATCTGTGTATATTTCATCTATTTGTTACCATTCCTTTTTCTATGGAAAATACAATGATGATGATGGGTTTCATCACGATGATGTGATAATTACTTTCGTATAACAACAACAACATCCTATTCTTCATCTGTTCTTTTTTGTATCAATTAATTTTGATGATGATGAAATATTGTTATTCTACCACTATCGAATAATGATGATGATGAATTACTCATCAAACAATAATAACAACAAACTTGTGTTCAATTTGACATTATTCATAACGATTACAATAATATTAATTTATTACTACTTTGAATATGACTTTCCAAACTTGTAAACAAAATAATGAATGTTATTAACACTACTACTACTACTACTACCAATACAACTAATATACTACTACTATTAACCAACAAACACACTTTTTTAAAACAATCCATTATTAACAATGTAACCAACTCAATTGCTGATAACAATTTAATAACAATCAATTATAACAATCAATTATAACAATCAATTATAACAATCAATTGTAATAATAATAATAATAATTTGTAATAATAATAGGGATCCAAGTGGATCATGTCTCTTTGTCTTTAAAGGACATGGAAAGTTTATTTCTGCGATGATTACATCACCTGAAGGTGTTATTTATACAGGATCAGATGATGGTGATATAAGATCATGGGCAGCTGAACGTCAAGTCATTCTTCATTTCTTTAAAGGTCACACTAAAACAATTTCATCATTGACATTGCACGGAAAGAAACACTTATATAGTGGATCTTTTGATAATGATATTCGTAAATGGGATGCTGAAACTGGTGAATGTTTACAAACTTTTAGAGGACACACAGATATTGTAACTGGTATTGCTGTTAAAAATGATTACATTTACAGTTCAAGTGCTGATAAAACCATTCGTAAATGGAATACTGAAGATGGTACACTTTTATTGACCTTTGCAGGACACACATCATGGGTATGGGATTTCGTAGTTATGGAAGATGGATTTCACATGTATAGTTGTAGTCAAGATAGGACTGTTAGAAAATGGAATTGCACAACTGGTAAATGCATGAAAGTTATGGAAGAAGCCAAGGATTGTGTTTGTCGTATTGCTGTTGCAAAGAATATTGATGGACTAGGTGGAACCCATCTAATCACTGCTTCATGGGATGGTATTATTAGAGAGTATCGTGTCGATGAAGGTGATGAATTCAAGAGAGAATTGAAAGGTCACTCTACTAAAATTAAGAACATTATGGTTAAAGGAAGAATTCTAGTTAGTGGAGGTGATGACAATGAAGTCAGAATTTGGGATTTGAAACACGGAAAGACCGTTTGTGTAAGTAGTAGACATTGAACTATTCAATGATTTAATTATTATGATCCATGTTAATATTTCAATTTGGTGCTGAACTATTCGAAACTTGTGGAAATTATAATATAGGTATTGAAAGTTAGAAAGCCATTCACTAGTATATGTAGAGGAAAGACCAACAATGTTCTCTACGTTGCAACAAGAGATGGAACAATCAAGGAATTTTCTCTGGAAAAAACCAAGAAGAATTTCGAAGGACTTGTTGAAGATTTGGACACTGATCAAACAGTTACTCACTATGCCGAAAGCAGTATTTCAGTTTAATTATTCACATTCAAGTAAATTATCATGTACTTTGTTAAATTATAATGTACACCAGTAGTAGCACTCAATAATATTACTAGGATCAAATTTTCTCAAATACTGATTCACACAATCATGACTTTAATCTTGAATGTGTCACAAGGATATGTTAATGTTGTAACATAACTAGAACATCTCTGTCTTGAGGTCTGGATTGTGGACCTAACCATTTAGATTACAACGTCAATGAGTCAATGAGTATTTCACATTTCTAGAGATTATCTCTTATTGTTCTTTTTATCTTCTTGATCTTTCATTACATAGAGTTACTAATTTAATTGAAGAGTGCATTGTCAAGAATATACCAAGGTTATGAAAGTATTTGTAAATGGATCGTGGTTGATTCCATAACCATTATACCTAGGCAGTACAATATTTGTTTAAACCTTTCAAATAAGATTATTGCCGATTCACTAAACAACATGTTTATTGACTTGAAGAAATAGCTGAGGTCAAGGAAGATTCCTTAACGACAATAACTTCTTGTGGAATACATTTACATACCCCATAATAGTGAATAGAAACATCAGCACATCTTGCAGTACAAGCACTTCCATAAGTGAGACCATTAACACCACAAACTGGCCTATACTCAACTGGACAATGACACTTTTCCTTTTCATGGATGTATTCAATTTCTTCTTCATGAATGATGTGTTCCCAATCTTCAACCAACTTGGTAATTTCAATTTCCAAACTTTGAGTAGAGTACAATTTTTGCTTCATAATCTTGATTATCTTCAATTGCATCTTGATGGTAGAAATTTGCTTGGACATTTCCTTCTTGGAAATAAGGTATTCCTTATAGATTTCTCTGTATACCTTAACAATGGAAATGTAAATTTCATAAGCCTTCTTCATTTCAAGTTTGTACTTTTTGATGAGTTTGAGATATGATTTAGTCAATTTAGTCTTCTTGATGGTAAGTTTAATCTTGACAATTTCAATTTGCAATTTCTTCAACAAATTCTTATAATATTGAACAAGTTTGCAAGCCTTTGAAACCTTTGCATGAGCAACAATAACCTTCTTGTTATTTTCCATATATTCCTTTTTAATTTTAGCCTCCACAGAATCCAATGATTGCCAAGCAACTTTCAAATCAGATTGATTTTTAGTAAGTTTGCTAATTGATTTCATTTGCTCTTGGAGAGCTTTTTGTTGTTCGGCATAGGAAAGACCACTCAAATCCGACTTTAAAATCTTTTCAAATTGAGTATCAAAGGTATGAGCCAGTTGTGATTGTTTTTTTCCGTAAATTTCCAAAACACAAGTTGAAACCAAAATAACGGCCAACAACAAGGCAAACACTACAAAATTTGGGCGGTTAAAAGTTTTCATATTTTCCTTCCTCAAAAAATTGTTATTCCAATTCAGTGTTCTAGCGAGAAGATAAATGTTTCAATTATTTGTTTGTTGTCGACAAGGTTTGATGATCAGCAACAAAAAGTAATGATGAAACAGGTGTTGGTTTTTTGAAGGATTTTTTTTAATGATGGAATTGAAAATTTATATCAATCACTTGTCAGTGATGTGACCTTATGGTTAAAAGAGACAGGAAAGTCAGTTTACCAACAATACAACCTTAGCAATTAATGTTCATGAAAATTATAATTTAACAATCTGAACTATTGTACTTTCTAATATAATAACATATTACAATTCATCTTCATTGTATAAACTCTCAACGTCAAATGGTTTAATATCAATTACCTGAGAATTTGGATTATTTGCTCTTGTTTCTTCATGTAATTCAAATAAATAATTTTGAATTGTATCCATTAGTGATGAAAAATCATTTTGCAAACAAGCAATTCTATGTCTCTTTGAAGCAACATCATTTAAATCCATATCCGATCTTGGGAAACCATCTTTATCAAGAAGAGATCCTTTTAATCCAACCCCTAACTTATCCAATGAAAGATTTAAATGTAAAATTTCCTTTTCCATTTCATCCTTGATGTTAACTAATTGTTTAATGTATTGTGTTGTTAATTTTGATGGCTTTTCAGGAATTTCATATTGTTTGAAATCTTGCTCGTAGGCAGCAACAGGGGAGTACATCATTTTTTTCGGAATTGGTAATTATTTATTTTAAGAACATTTGTTTGATTCCATTCAACCAAGACCAATCGAACCGAAAATAATAAAACCTAACTGCCGATTTATTAATTGATGATCAACTGAAGTCATTTTCCAATCATTGGTAAATCTTAGAAAGCCATTGTTTAATTCAATTTATTAATAAAAATAAATTAAAAAAAATTCAAAATGCCACCAAAGAAGGCTGCTGACAATAAGAAAGGAGGAGACAAGGGAGGAGCAAAGAAAGGAGGAAACGACAAGAGCTCTGGAAAGGACGACAAACTTGGTACCGTAAAGGAAGTCCAAGCTCGTCATATTTTGTGCGAAAAGATGGGCAAGGCTGAAGAAGTCATGAAGAAGGTAAATTTCTCGGATTTGTTGAATTTATTTGTGACAATATCATATTGATGAATGCGGAATAATAATTTGATGATCAAATATTAATAATAATAATTTAATATAGCTTCAAGAAGGATGGCTCTCAAGAGATGTTAAAGTTCCATCTTCTGAATTTGGTAAACTTGCTGAACAATACTCTGATTGTTCATCAAAGAACAAGGGTGGTAATCTTGGTAAGTATGCAAATAATTATGATCCATTTCAACAATTACTAATCATATAGGCTGGTTCGGAAGAACTAAAATGGTTGGACCTTTCAGTGAGGTTGCTTTCAATACTCCTGTAGGTGAAGTCAGTAAGATCTTCAAGACAGAACACGGTTATCACATTGTTTTGGTTGAAGAAGAAACTAAATGTCAATAAAATCAATTATTTATTAATAATAAACCCAACTAAATTAATCTTAGAATTAAGGCAAAAAACCATTTAGAATAAACTTAAAAAAAGGACAAAAAACTACACTTGTGTAAAGAAGCAAAAAAGCTGTGTTAAAAAAGGTGTAGGAAGACAGGGAATCGGACCCTGATCTTAAAACCACAATCCCATGTTCTACCACTGAACTATCTCCCTTTCATATGTTATTATAAATAAAGGAATATATGTGCAAACAATGAGTTTGTTATATCATATTATTAACCATTTCACCTACTACTAATCAGAAACCTAATATTGTTCCATTTCGCTACTGGAATTCATCTCCAGTGTTGAATTGAGATTAATTAAAAAATGGGTCAATCAATCGTTGGATATTTCACCACTCCGATTCTCAAACAAATTGAAGATAAACAACGTGATGCAGCCATTCAACAACAATTACTAAAACTCAAGACACTGAAAAGGAGAAGAGATTTTGAAATTGCCACACGTATGGCAACAATGAGGGATCGTGTATGGTGGCTCGGAGGTATGGAAATTACATGATGGAATATTCACCACAATGATAATAATTATTTGTGTTTTTAATTTATCATATTATTTAATTCGGAATGAATGCAAAATATTGTGTAGGATTTTATTCATTGATGGCAACTGTTGCTGTTGGAAGAATGATACGGATAAGGCAATTTGATCCTCTGCCATTAAATTATATTCCAATGTTGGTGGTTCCTTTTTGGATGGCCTATTTGAGTATGTTTTTGGATCCAGTTTTAATTAGTTGTTAATTTCTTATGATTTGTTTGAATTTTCACAGCTGATTTTTCATACGGAACAAAAGCAAACAGAATTAATTTGGAAGTTCAAAAGATTTTAAATGAGGAAGAACACCATTGGTTTAATGAGGTTAGTATTTGATGAAGTATTGGACTTGGAATAATATATTGAATCAATTCAAAACTACTAGCCAATGGAAATTCCAGAATTACTTAAACCACACTATCACAAAATGTTTGAGGAACACAATAAGAAACTAGAAGAAATGGGAAAGGTAAGTTTCATGTTTTGATTTGTTACAACCCTTAATAATTGAAAAAGACACCTGAAAAGCATTGGGCAAAATAAATTATTTATTATTGTTTTTTTCTCACGTTTAGTACACTTATACAGATATCTCTGGTGTTTGTGAAAAACAGTGGATGTATTAAGGAAGTTACAATTATTCACTCTTCAATTTGTAAATCATTCTAATGTTCTCATCATTTCAAATTCTTAATTGTTGAAATTATTTTTATTATTAATTAATTATAAAAAATGAATCAACAACAACAACAGATCGGAACAGCATCAAATCAAGAAGATATTACAAGCTTGTTGATGGATAAATTAAAGAATTCGTTAAATCATTCATTATCTAAAGAACAAGAGCAAGAATTATTAGTCATGTTTCAAATGTATGCGAAGGAAAATAAAGTTTCATTGAAGGATATGCACAGTTTAATTCGATCAAATATCGGAGTTGTGATGGATATTGAAGAATTGATGGATTTAGTTCAATTTTTCTCACCTGAAAGTATGGTTGAAGCTTTGAATAATGAAAGTAACGAAAGAAAAGTTGAAAAGATTAAAGTAGATTTTCCAACTTTTATTAAATGTATTAATACTAGATTCCTTGATGAGAATAGATTAACCAAAGAGGAAATTCATGATTTATATTTGAAGGAAATTTTCAACTTGTTGGATGCTAATCAATCGGGAACAATCGGAAAGGCAGAAATATCTCACTTTTTCTCTAGAACATTGGGAGAGAATTTAGTTGAGGATCAAATTGTTGAAATGTGCCATTTTGTAAATAATAATGCAGGAATTCATCAAACAATAACATTCGATGAATTAAAATTATTTGTCAAGGAGAAATTAAACATTAAATTGTAATTGTTATGATGATTTAATTGATTTCTTGATCATCATTATTCCGATTATTATACTCAATCCAAATAATATTGTAAGACCTAATATTGCAATAGACATGATTGCATATTCTCTCTTCGGAAAGAATTGAAGAAACCACTCTTGATCCTTGTGAATAAATGGCTTGTTGTTGTGTAAGAAATTTTCAATAATCGGAACAAGTTGTAGTACATACTGTCACTAGTAACCACACTGAATAATAAAGAAAGCATGAAAAGACGCAAACAATGGCATTGAATCCAAATCTAGGTGTAGTATTAACAGACATTTTTTTATTTAATAAATCTTTCAAGTTGTTATTCATATTTATTAAATACTCGAGTTTTAAGAGAGTTCAATTCTTCTTTCATTTCTGGCACAACCACCATCTTATCAAAAAATCGTTCCAACAATGTTTTGAATTCAGAAATTGAGTGCTTAAAGTAGGAGCAACATTCCAATAGATTTTGAATTCTTTTCAGATGCTGATCTGAGTTAACACTAATGGTTGTTTTGGAGGCGCATATGTCAAGAAGGATTCTCGAAGCATCTGTACGTTTAGAGCTATTGGTTCTATCCAAACCTCTAAGGAGGGGTAGAAAATCTAACATATTATCATGGGTAGTCCACAGAGTTGTAATAATAAATGAAATGGCTTTCTTTGAATTTTGGACTGATTTCGAATAGCTCAGAATATTGTTGGTCAATTTAAATTTCTCATTCCAAACCTCCAAAAATTCATTATTGACCTTATATTCTTTCACTAATTTGGTGTATGCTGCATAGAATTCATTCCTTAAATTCTCCAAATGCTCAGTGGCTATAATGGTATTTAACTTGAGTAATCTTGTTTTGTAAATTTTGGTAATATCCAAGCAAGTTTCCAGGGATTTTGAACTAAACGAAGTCCTACAATAAATAGTTGAATTACAAATTCTAGATTCGAATAATTCTAATGAAAGCTTGATATTATAAAAATGATAATAAAACTTCTTAATCATTTTTTCATCTCTCTCCACAAATGGTTTCCAATTATTGATCTTGCTCAATAAATATGGCCCAACAGTTTCGAATAGAACTTTCAGGCTCTTCTTTGGATAAAAAATCATTAAAGTTTGTCGTGGTGTGAATTTTTTCGAATTTTCCCAATATTCTTCTCCTCTCCTAAAATGTCTGTGTCTGATACGAGTGCGCTTCTTTCGTTTAGACTTGAATGTTGGCTGATGACTATTATCATATTCCAATTCGGAAATAAAATTATACATCAATTTGAATCGAATATGATGACAACAATTAGATACAAATCCTGGATAACACTTCAGCATGGCATACAAATCATTCCTATCAAGAAAATCAAAAACATGACCAATTATCTCTTGTGGTAATTGATTCATTTTTTTTTCTTAATTTTTTTTATCAAATTGAAACTCTTTTTTGAAATTGAATGTTTTACAATGAAAATTGATTACTTCAAAATTGCATAGTTGGCTTAGTCTAAGAAACCATCAAAAAACGAACCATCATCACCATCACCTGAGAAAATACTTTCTTCGGCGTCAAATTCATTTTCGAGTTCAATATTCAAGTCAATTTCAATATTTTTCAGCCAACTCTTTCAGGGTTTCTTTCAATTCTGAGATAAGCTCTTCCTTTTCTTTCAAAAGTTTTCTCAAGTGAGAAGATTCATCTTCTGAAAGAAGGTGATTTTCAATGGATTCTTGCAATTCTTCCAATTCAGTTTCATATTCCTCAAGCAAGCTTGTGTTTTCTCTTCTTTTTTCCTCAATATTTCTTGAAACTGATTGTTCTTTCTTACGCCCTATTGTGTGTTTTCTCTTGTTTAGATCAACCCCAATCAAGTGAGCTTCAATCCAGCTTAATATTTTAGTAACTGTTTTAACAGTTGGTTTGATTTTTGCCTTTGATAAGTTATTATACAACACTCGATCAAAATTCATATTATTGGGTTTCTTTTCTATATGTTTCACAATGGACTGGAGAACCTTTCCATCAAAATGGAATTGTTTGAGGAATTGAATTTCTTTTGTTGTTAAACCAGCTCCATCTCTTAAAGTTGGAGTTTTCATCAATAAAAGAGTTCTCTTCTTATTCCAATCTTGAAAATTCTCAAAGTTGATTGGAAATTCAACAACATTACTTTTCTTGACATTCTTTTGAATAACAAATTCTCCCAATTTGATTGAAAATTGTGTCATGTCAATCTTTTCATTCATCCTCTCATCCATATGTTTTGATTTTTCAACAATTTTTCTATTAAATTTTTCAATTGCTTTTTGAAATTCCACTTGATCAATTTCCTTCTTTAGTTTACCTAGATCATTAATGTTTAATTTCAATTCCACAAATAAATTCACCTCCTTCTTGTTGAGAGCAGCTCCACCTTTTGATTTAGCCATCTTGAGTTTAATGATGAGTTGTTGCTCTTCGGATTCCTTCTCATGAAATTGTTGTGGAGTTATTGTGGTGGATTGTGATGAAAAACAAGTGTGAAAATTCCTTCTCTCCATCATGTGTACCATGTTTGGAAGGGTTAATGAATTTGATCCCAATTTACCAGTAAAAATTCTCAGTTTAACAATAGATTTGATGTGTCTGTTAAACATTTTTTTCAAAACCTTGATGGGTTGCAAACACTGAATCATGCCATTTCAAAATCACGGACATGTTGCATTACAAAAGATTTATCTTCTTGTGATCAAGATTTTGATTGGGATATGTCAGTGATTTGAAATCATTATCAAGTAGTAAGGATTTCAAGTAGTTTTCTTTCCTTGTATTTTAAAATTTAATAATGCCAACAACAATAATTGATTCAATTCAATATCCTCCATAATTGAAGATTTTATAAAACTTTTAAGCAGTGCGGGCAGGCTTGTTGTATTTTTGTTTTTGTCTAAATTTTGCTTCAAGGCTGGCTTTGGTTCTTTTGGTGATTTCAAATATTTAAAAAATGTCCGTTATTCGTATTGGTAACTATCGATTGGGTAAGACACTGGGAGAAGGTTCTTTCGGTAAAGTAAAATGTATGTTGCTATTGATGTTGAAGGGTGGTGGGTTCTAATGATGGCGATAATTTGGATTTTCTATGTTGCTGTTATTATTATATAAAAATAATGATGAAAAAAACAAACGGAATTTAATAATTTAAATATTATAATGATGATGAATAGTGGCCGAACATGAAAGCACTGGACACAAAGTGGCAGTCAAAATTCTCAACAGACAGAAAATTCAAAGTTCAAAGATGGATAAGAAGATTAGAAGAGAAATCAAAATTTTGAAATTGTTCAGACACCCACACATTATTCGTCTTTATGAAGTCATTGAAACAAGCACTGAAATCTTTCTAGTAATGGAACACGTCGGAGGTGGTGAATTGTTTGATTATATTGTAAAGAGAGGAAGAGTATGTATTTTTATAGTAATATTAATGTCATGATTGTTTAGTTATCTGAATCGGAAGCTAGAAAGTTCTTCCAACAAATTATTTCTGGTGTTGAATATTGCCATCGTTATATGGTTGTTCACAGAGATTTGAAACCTGAAAATCTTTTACTTGACAATGATTTCCAAGTCAAAATTGCTGACTTTGGTTTGAGTAATATTATGCATGATGGTGCTTTTTTAAAGACATCTTGCGGATCTCCAAACTATGCTGCTCCAGAAGTTATTACTGGTAAATTATATGCTGGACCAGAAGTTGATGTTTGGAGTTGTGGTGTAATTTTATATGCTCTCCTCTGTGGTAAATTGCCATTTGATGAAGATAATATTCCAACTCTCTTCAAAAAGATTAAGGAATGTTCTTATACCATTCCTTCACATGTATCTCAAGAAGCTAAGGATTTAATTCAAAAGATTTTGGTTGTTGATCCTGTTCAACGTGCCACAATTTCCGATATCAGAAAGCATCCGTGGTTTGTAAAGGATCTCCCTGATTATTTGAAAATTCCACCATCCAACTTTGGTCACGCTAGTGAAAATATCAATATTGATGAAGGTGTTGTTCATGAAGCCCTTCTTAAAATTTCTGATAAGAAAACCATTACTGAAGAAGAAATGGAAGAAGCTATTAATGATATCTCTGATGGTAAAATGAATCGTGTAACTGTAGCATATTATTTAATTCTTGACCATAAGATGAAGTCAGCTATTAAGGATCAATACATGAAAATCAATCAAAAACAGATGGAAAAGGAAACAAGTAATGTTAATAATATTCAAGCTGTCATTAATCCATGGCCAGCACTTAGCAGTTCTCCACCAACAGGTCAAATCACTATTGAAATGGTTTTGGATCCAAGAGGTACTCTTCAAGAAGAGGAATCAGTTTCTGATAAGAGTAATCTTGCTGTAAATGTTATTGATGATTTGCGGATAGATACTACCGAGCAAGCTGCTCATAAAAAGTACCATCTAGGTATTAAAACCAATAGAAAGAATGCTCAAGATACTATGAAATGTGTTTATAGAGTATTGAAGAAGATGAATCTGAAATGGAAAATTATTGCTGAATATAATTTGAAATGTAAATATAATCACCACGTTGATAAGGATGTTTCTGTTGGATTACAAGTTTTCAAATTACCAGAAGGTGGATACTTGGTAGATTTATTCAGAATTGGAGGAAATGTTTTCCACTTCCATGACACTTGTCAATTATTCCATGACTTGTTTGATATTGAAGATAGAAATGACAATATTGCCGCAAGTACAGGAATTGCCATGGTAACGAATCTTAATAGTTTACCTCAACACTAATTGATTTTTATAAACCCAACAATGCTATCACACATTAAAATTAATTTTTTTGTAAATGTAATTGATTACGATTTATAATAGTCCATTGGATTTTTCATCTTTGAAAACAAAATGACCCACGATGACAAGACCAACAACAGTCAGACAGAAACTAAACTGTCAAAAAGTTCTGATGATACACCTCCTATGAACATTGCAGCACTAGATACTAGTAATGTGAATATCCAACAACAGAAACAACAAATTGCTCACAACAAATTAAAACAATACGAAAGTGATATGACAATGGTTAATTCGGGATGTCTCTATCAATTATTTGCTCCCTTCTTGTTATTATTTGGAATTGTACCTTCACAACAATCTGCAATAGTAGATGTAAAACCACCAACAAGAGACGAAACTTCATCACTATTAATTGGAGGCAATTCCGATTCAGAATGATGATGATGACTATGATCTTTATAATAATCCCTCCACCACACATATTATTGATGATCAAATGGATGAGAGTAGAATTATTCGTCAGGAGAAGACAATTTTAGATCATAAACATGGAGGTTTGTCACATCATGATGAATTGGAATCCTACCTAAATCAATCACTAGAGAATGCAACAACAATTCTGCACAAGGATGAACAAACTGTCTATTCTAAATTCAAAGATACCTCCTATAGGAATATTCATAGGGAGCCAACAGGTTCTGAAACACCTAGACAAACTCAATCAACTGCAACAGCAACTGTTATTAATAATCAAAGTACTTTTGAAACAACACAACAAGACAAATTTATGGAAGTAATGAACCAATTCAATAATGTTAATTTGAATAATAATTTCACAACTTTTCAACCTTTGAAGGAAGAAGTTGACATTCCAATTGTCACTCAACCATCCACCTCAACCAATAATAATACTCCTCAATCTAATAATTTGATTTCCAAACAAGTTGCTCCAAATCAAATCAACAACAGTTCAACTAGCAATAGTGTTTCACAATCAACTATTAAGGAAAAGACTGAAGAACCACTCTCACAAATAACTACACCAACCATCAATCCAATCACTCAAACAAACTACAATGATGACGAGGAAGAGGATGAAGAAGTTAGTTTTGGGCAATTCCAACAACATTACGAAGATGATTCCGAAGATGACATTGAAATAAACTATCAATAAGATTAATCAAAGTTTAAGTAGTCACAACCCAGCTTATTTAATCACAACATCAGTAAGCCATTTCAATGTTAAATATCTTAACAATAAAATAAATTAATTTTAGAATTTTTTGTGTTTATATTTTGGAAGGAAAATGATTTAGTGGGTAGTAGCCTTTGTGGTTTCAGACTTTCTCTTAGCCAAAAGCTTAGCATAAGCCTTCTTTTCGCTCTTGGAAGCAGCAACTCTCTTAATACTTCTCTTGATTTCCTTGGCCTTTCTTCTAATTCTGTCTGGAGTAACCAATCTTTGGACCTTAACACCCTTGAGAACCTTCTTGTTCTTGGCGACCTTTCTTTCACGTTTAATAACGTACTTTCTGACATCATCAGCCTTGGTCAAGTTGAAGAGCTTTCTAATCTTGGAGGCTCTCTTTGGACCGTGGGTTCTTGGTTTAACGGAATCAGTAATACCTGGCAATTCAGCATCACCCTTCTTGACAACAGTCAAACACAAAACTGAGAGATCAGGACCAACAATACAACCTCTGACGGACTTTCTTCTTCTTTCACCGTCTCTACCTCTCCACTTTTGGAAGCCGATAGAACCTCTTTCGAGGAGGAGTCTAACTCTGGTGTTAGCCAAAATACCTTGCTTCATGGCGAAACCAGACTTGTCTTGACCACCAACAATCTTGAAGACGTATCCCTTATATTCAGGACCAATGTTGTCACCTTCAACTTCTTCAGACATCTTTCTGTCAAAGAAGGCTCTCAATTTGATGTCAGCATCTTCTTCAATAACGACCATCTTGGTCATGCCGGTGGAAGGGTCAGAGATCTTGAGCTTCATTTTAATGTATTTTTTTTCAACAAATTTTTTCAGCAATTCGAGTTGAGTACGTCAATATTATTTTACAATAGAAAATTTTGCAGGGTATTTTTGCTTTGAAGGCTTCCTCTCCAATGCTGTCTTAAAGAAAATGCTGCCAAGGGATAAATCACACGGTAACAACAATATTTCTTTCAATGTAAAACAACTATTGTTTTGTCTTCTTTATTGGAGAGGCCCCTTTGTTTTTTAGAAAACTAGTAATACTTGTTTGCCTTCCCTGACTTCCATTGCTTACAGAGTCTGCTTTCCTCTTCTTATTCGTGTTGCTGCTCTGTTGGGAAAATGAGGACAACAAATTTCCTTCTCTCTTCTCTTCTTCATTGACAATTTTACTTGTACCAATAGTAGATGTTTTCGGAGTGGCAAATTTTGGTGGTTCAACAAAGTCAGAAACACTCACTCCCATCCTTTGAAGTTTGAACGGAAGGGAAACTTTTTGCTTGAACATCTTGATGACCAAACTATGAATGTTGGATTCATCCTTCTCCTCATAATTATTCAAATTATTATAAATGTTGGAAGTAATTTTGCAACTGACTGAATGATATGGATCTCTGTAACTTCCATGACAATAACGAAGTGTGAGTTTGGTTGCATATCGATTACTATTCCTCTTCAAATCTCTTTGAATACGAGTAAACAAGTCTCCAGTGATGGTCCGAAGCTTTTGTTCAAAATCCTCATAAGTTTGGATGGTAAGAAATCTTGAGATTAAGAGTAGATGATGGATTAGGAGGTTAAATAATAATAATATAATTCTACATACGTTAATTCAGAACCAATAGATTTTGGAGGACCTTTGGAAACAACTCTATCATATTCTTCATCAAACTTTCCATTGGCAATGTTCAATACCTTGATTGCAGCCTTATCCGAATTGAAACATTTGATAATATTCACATAGGTCTGTGCTCGTAATTGCTTGACTGTACTTATTTGGCATAATTCAGCTAATTTTTGTTTTGTGGTATATCCAACATTGGGAATTATGGAAACATCTTGAGAGTTAATTTCTTCATCAAATGATTCTGAATAGATTAATGCTTGTCCATTTGGTTTTTGTTTTTTAGAGGCAAGTTTGGAGAGAAATTTTGAATGGGCTATTCCAGCACTGATTGTATAACCCAAGCTATTGAATACATTACATCTAATTTCCTCTGCAATTTGAGATCCAATATTAAGATGATTATCCTGTGAATTGACTGATTTGGATACTTTTCTGCCTCTATGATCTTTCACATCAATTCCAAGCTCTGTGGCATTTTCCAATCTCCAATTTACTTCATCAGTCACATTGATATAAGCTTCATCAATTCCACAAACTTCCAATACACAATCTCCATGAAATGAATTAACACACTCTCCAATACATTCATCAAAGATCTTTCTACTTTCTTCTCTGTAAATTTCCATTCTTGCTGGTATTACAATCAATTCTGGACACATTTCAAGGGCTTGCTTTACTCTCGTCATTTTAGGTATTTTATACTTGATTCTACCACAATAGTTGACTGTTGAAATTGTTTGATTTTGTTGAATACCAAGAGGAAGATCTCTATATTTTGGATTTTCAACCTCCTCAACTTGAGCATAAAAACAATCCAAATCAAGATGAATAATCACATATTTTTCATGGCTTTTCATAGGAGTTTTGAGTTGCGACATTTTTTTTGAATTAAAATTCTAATGCCAACTCGAACTCGTAAAATCTAAACTTTAAAAAATACTTTGACATTAAAATCTGCCTAAAGATGAAGAAAGAACCGGAAGCTTTGATGTTGTTGCCTCAAAATAGACAACTTAATGTTCTAAATTGATGTAGATTATCGAACTATCGAACACATCACCGGATAACATTAAAAGAAAGAAAATAAAAAAATGGAAAATTCATATGTGATAGATAATGGAGGTTATTATTGCAGGATTGGGCGATCGGGAGAAGATGATTGTGAATACAAATGTAGATCCATTGTTTCACTTGATGATCATCAAGTAGTTGTGGGTTCTGATCATGGCAATGATGATAATTATGTGAGTCCGATGGAGAGAGGAATTGTTTTAGATTGGGAACGAATGGAAACAGTTTGGAATCATGCTTATCAAGCTGTTAGTTGTAATCCATCAGATTCTGCTGTTTTACTGACTGAAACCATATTAAATCCAAAATCGAATAGAGAAAGAATGGTGGAGGTTCTATTTGAATCGTTTCAAGTTCCCTATACACAATTTGTTTGGGAAGGTTTATTGAACATTTATGCATCTGGGAGAGGAAGTGCTTTGTCTATTATGTGCGGAGATGGTACTTGTCATGCTTTGCCAATTAATGAGGGTTATTTGATGACAAGAGGATTGTATAGAAGTGATTTTGGAGGAAGTGATATCACACTCTATCTTATGAAGTTATTGAAAGAGAGTGGAAAGTTGAATTTCAATAAGAAAATTGTAAATAATATTAAGGAAAAATTGTGTAATTGTAAGGGAGATTCCAGTGATAAGATTTATGATTTACCTGGTGGTGGAACAGTCGAAATTGGTGATGAATCTGTTAGGGCAGCTAATTTATTGTTTGATCCAAGCCCTATTTGTGGAGATGAATTATCTATACCTGATATGATACTAAAATCTGCTCTCAGTGCTGAGATTGACCAAAGATATTTGTTTGTTAACAACACTGTTCTGGGTGGAGGAAGCTCACTAATGGCAGGATTTGATGCAAAATTGCAAGAACAAATGAAAGAAAAATGGGCAATTGCAGCTCCAACACTTAAAAGTAGAGTGATAACACCACCTGATCGTGAAAAGAGTGTATGGATTGGAGGATCAATATTAACTTCATTATCGACATTCCACCAAAAATGGATTTCGCATAAGGATTTCTCAGATTTTGGCCCTTCCATAGTTTACAGAAAGTTAAGTGCATCTTAGAAAGATAATAATAACAGTATATTTATTTTCTCTTTCTGGTTGCTCTCTTCTTTCTTGGTTTATCTTCGTAATCGTCATCGCTATCATCCATTTCAGCCTCTTCATCACTGCTTTCTTGCTTCTTTTTTCTTCTGGTGCTTCTTCTCTTTGGTTTTTCTTCTTCTTCCTCTTCCTCTTCACTGGATTTCTTTTTCTTTTTTCTTGGGGCTGGTTTCTTTGGTTTTGGTTTTTCTTTCTTCTCTTCTTTTACCTCAAAGAATCTGGCATAGGTTACCTTTTCTTGATCATCTAGGAGATCTTTAACAGTTTCACCATTATTATTCTTAATGGAAAGGTCTGTTGCCTTGAAAAAGGTTTCAACACAGTTTCCTGATTCTAGTGCATAAAAGGCTGCAGTTCTACCTTCATTATCTTGAATATTAAACACATCTTCTCTATCAATTGAGGAAAGATATTTGACCAAATCATTAATCATATCACATTTGCATGAATAATTATCAGAATAGTAATTATGAGTAGAATCTTCACAAATAATGTGGAGGCAAGTTTTCCCTGTAGCTTCACACTTAGTAGTCAGCCAAGAAATTAAAATGTCTTGACTCAGCTCTGAATGTACAAGAATATTCTTCTTCTTTCTACCAGTTGTATCCTCAAGTGCAAGATATAAAAAGAGATAAATTAAACCTTTCAAATAACATATATCAAAGAGACTGAGATAGTATTCCTTTGGCTCTGGTGAATTGAGGGCTTGTGTCTTGGACCAAGCAGTCTTGGCTTCAAATAGGGCTGATCCTAAAATGCTTTCCCAATTATTACTGTAATGTTGATAAGCTGGGGTTTCATCTTTTCTCTCTTTGTTTACAGTAATTTGGAAACGTGTACTAAACATCTTAAACCTCTCTTCAGGAGTCAAACCATTAAAGTGGTTTGCTATTAAATCGGCAATGCTTAATTGAGAAGTCTTATCCTCCATGTATCTATTTTTTCCTTCTACAATACATCCAATGAGTATTTGTAAAATCTCTTCCTTTGTAAAGTCATTCATGTAATCTAATGAGTTGGCAATAGTTTGATAACAGAATTCAAAATTATTTGATTCGAATGCTAATCTGAAATGTTTCGTTGTCCATTCTATTGGATTGGATTGACTTTTAGTCTTGCGCACAAAGATATTTCCAACAGTAAATAGTCCTCTCTTTGCTAGTTCATCTAAAACTGATGTACCATTTTTGAATGGCTCGTTGGTGAGAGTATCTAATACATGGATAGAGTTGGCTTGAGAGAAAACTTGCTCAATTTGTCTGAGAAAATGGTCTGCTCCCATAATTGTTGCGAGTTGGACAACATTAATATTGCCAAAAACTTCATCTTCATATCTGTAGGATGCAAGGTTTGTTGCAATATCTGTAAATTTTGTTGGTCTATACCACCAAGCTCCTGATGTGGTATCAATTGTTACGCCCAAAATACCTTCAAGATATTGCCAATTTACAGCAGATGAACTAGATATGATTGTGTAAAAGAGTGCATCGATTTTCTTGTTTGGAATGTCAATAATGTTTTCTAGTAATTTTGCAGGAATGAGGGGGTCATCAGAGTGGAAAGTTTGATGAAGTTCAGTTTGTCTATTGGATCTAAAGTTTTTCCACATTGATAATAAATACAAAAGTGGTGAGATGAGGGTACCTTTCACAGTGCATGGCTTGATAAGAATATCTTCAAAATCATCAAAACGTTTAAAGATTTTTCTTAATGTTTCCAAGGTTGAAGAGCTAATGGAGTGTAGAAGTTGCATCAAAAATATAGGTCTGTTGAGTTCAAGATTATCCTTTTCATAATATGTTCCAGATAATTCTGAAAGAGCTTCATTTAGATTACATCCTCTAGAGAGAAGACTTTCTATCAAATCGAGAGTTGAAATATTACTGGAGGAAGAGCTACCAAAATAGTAAAATGAATTATTCGCTTCGTCTGGTTGGAATCTCTCTATTACATTGGTCAGTAAAGATTTGTTGTTAAACTGTTTAGTCAATGTTTCTTCTGAAATTGCATTCATAATTGCTGTAAAATCTATATCTGATCGCCAACCATTTTCTAAATAGTAGAATAGTGGAATATTTCCACTTTCATCAATAGCATTAGCGTCAACTCCGTGAGTAATCAATTTGTTAACAATACCAGTATTTTTTGATATGATAATAAATTTGTGAAGTAAGTTTTGATTCTTATCAAATTTCAAATCATTGATTGGTAAACCAAATTTTGTGTAAACTTTACCAAATGCATCAATTGCAGAAAAAATATCATTATTCCTGATATTATTTTCAATTTCAATTCTTTTGATTAAACGTTCTAAAGGGTTAAAACCCTTATTATTTTTCATTTGAATAAAGTCTACTGGTAATGCATCAATAAGAGCTATTAAGAGTTAGAATAGTCAAATAATTAAAAATAAACATACATGGAGAGCATGGATGAATATGAATGAGATTGTTACCTGTTGTTGGACAAACAAACTTGATATCACAACCAATCTTGATTAAGGTTGCAATTACATCCTCATTAATTTCGTATTCATTACTACATGTGATGTATAAATGTAAAATATTTACATTTTTTTCATCTCCATTCAAAAATCCTTTAGAATTACCTAATGTGACAAGTGATGGATTACGAGTACATAAGAATTCAATAATTTGTGGTAATTGTCTGGATACATTGTTCTGAATTAACCATAATAATGGGTTGATTTCTGCATCAAAAACTAGTGGAAAATTAGCCTGTTCAAATAACATTTTAAATACTTGGAGATTGGATACACCAGATAAGATTTGAGAAATAAAATCCCAATCGTATGATGTAATATCTGTTGGAGAGATTAGAGTTTTGAAAAATTGCTTTTCATACATGTAATCAGCAATTTCTTCATTGGTAATATAAATACTATTTGAACCTGTGGTAAGCTCTGGAGAGCCATATCCTCTTTCTACATGCTTTACATTTTCTTCTAAAATAAAGTCAATCAATGCCTTGCTATACAGATTTTCTGGCAATGATAGAACATTCAATCTCTTGAGAGAGAAGTGTTGCTCCTTTACAAGATACTTAAATAAAGAAATTACATTCTCAGGAATAAGTGAATTTGATAATGTAATAAGAGATGAGTTGTCATCTTTTACCATGACAAGGGATGAAGTAAATTGCGTCAAATATCTATTATAAGTAATGTTTTGAATATTTGTAATATCTTGTCTATAAGTGAGAGGAATTTCAGCAGGATTATAGCTAACATCCAAAGTAAGTGGGGAAACATAAAATATCTCCATAGTTTGTAACTTGTGGAAAAGTTTCAAGATATTATTAGGAACACGAACAGTGGCACCAATAGCAGGAACAATTAACTTTTCAATGTTAGGAAATAAAATTGCTAAGAATCTAATACAGTCATTGTTTCTTCTAGTGGTACAATTTGAATCATACCACGGAAACTTGTATCTCACTAATTCATAATCAATATCATTTCTTTGAACCAAGTCAAGTTCTTTTACATTTTGACAAATAACAGTATCAAAATCGTCCAACCATTGTTGCGAAATACTTCTAATATTTAAAAAGTATGGGAATGGAGGTACATATTCAAGTATCATGTGTAGAATATGTCTTGGTAAATAACAATCAAATTTTGGCAAATAGAAAAATCCTTGTTCCTATCAGAAATCAATCAAAAGATATTAATTCTTCGTCACTCACAGATAACAACTTACCCAATCCATTCTTTTAGCTTTTTTACTTCTGGCATCCAATAAACGTTTAGTATTGATATTGGCAGATTCACCTTCATCAACCATTTCATCATTTTTTCCTCTTCAACATTTTGTGAATCTCCGACTACTTCTTTAATACGTTCCTCTGTTGTCTTTTTTAATTTCTTTTTAGGAACACGTGATGGTGCCTTTACTTTTGGTTTTTCTTCCTCATCAGATGTAACATATTCATCAAGATCTTCCTCAGCATCAGTCGATGAATAATCTACATATTTAGTGGATCGCTTTTTACCTGATGATCTTGTTCTTCTTGGAGGCATCTTTTTGTACAATAATTGTATGGATAAATTGAATAAATTAAACTCTTTGATCAATAAAACTTGTTGATCAAAATATTATGTTTTCCAAATGAATGAACAACAACAATCGGCGAAACTACAGAAGATGATGTGTTCGCTTTTTTTACCAATATTTTTGCACATTGATAGTTGATGATAGCACTTGTTTGATTTTCTAGCGTTTTATTGAAAATGTAAAAGAACAAAAGTTTTGGTTCATTCACCTAAGAATTCGAGTTCTGTCAAAATACAGATGTTTTTTTTGGGAGTGTTCAGAGGGTAAGTTATCAAATGATTGAAATTAATGTCAAATAACCTGTGGTGGTAGCATTTCCATATCTTTCAGTCACACTAACATTACCACACAAATTCCAAATATGATAACAGCCAGAGATATTGTAAAACTGAAAAGAACTCCTCTAAGAATTTTGAATTTCTTTCTTAGTGCTATTGTAGACCAATTAAGAGGCAATTCATGTAAGCATATTAATACTGGAACAAACAGAAAGGGCCAATAAAATAGAATATAATATCTTTCCAATAATAATATTAATTTTAATGCAATGGGATAATATTGTGGAAGTAATTAATGTTGTGTTGATTTGAAGATCATCTAGAAGGTGTCTTCTTGTGTTTCATCTTTGAAAGGCTTGAATGAGATAATACTCACAAAGCATTTGAAGCATGACCACACAATGAACCATCAGTATCTGAAAAAAACAAGCATTGGAATTGAATTTTGAAATGATTCAACAGAACAATAATTTATTGTTGTTCCAGTGTCTACTCGATTCCACCAAAACAACAAAAACTAAAAAAAATGACGCCACACAAAAATAATTCACTCACCACCACTTCAAATACAAATTCATTGCAACCGCTTTCTCATCGGCATTTTGCTTGCTTACGAGACACTGTCAATCGGAAACCAGCTTTGATGAGAGAGAAATTAGGATCTTCCATGAGTCTGTCTTGTTTTAAGAAAAAGATTGACAAAAAATCCATTAGTCATTTAAGTATTGCAAGTGATGATTTGTTATTTTATGATCCTCTTTCCTTGAGCCCAATTAAACCATCATCACATCAGCAAAGGTGGGATGAATCTGTTATTGTGAATGATGATTATTTTGAAAGAGGATTGAAAGAAATAATGGATAGTGTAAGGGATTTTGATGAAAACAAACGAATTATGAAGCTCCATGCTGAGCTAGATAGACAAATTGAGGAGCTGGATAAAAAATCAAAAACGGTTCTTACTAAAGACGAAAAGAAAGAAATCATGTCAAAATATTTTGGATCTGAATTAATAGATGATTTGAATCTTTCAGAAAATACAATTAGTTATGGAGATCATTGTGAGAAAATGAGGAAGGATTGTTTGGAAAAGGACATTACAAAATATTTTCTCGTAGATATAGATCTCTTAACATCTAACAATCTATCGAAGGAGGATATTAAGACATTGAATGAATCAAAAATCGATAACATTCCATCTATGAAGCATTTACTCCAAAAATTTGCAATCTCTTACAATTTTGAGGGTAGGGTTGAGCAATTTCAATATTATAATCTGCCTCAACATGTAATAACATCTATTGCTTTCAATATGGAGAAATGTTTGGATTTTATTTCATCTAAAATTGATGATTTAACAGAGGAAGAGCTATTCGAAGCAACTGTATTTCTATTACGTACCTACTTTTCAATCAAAGTACTTTCCTTCAAGACTGAATACAACATGAATATTGTAGATCCTTTAAGCTTTGGGAAAATATTACCACTAATCCATAATTTATTAGAAAGAATGGAAAGAGAATTTCCAACACAAGAAAAAGTAATTGCTACACTTTGTCAAATATTCAAATATGATGATTTTGACACAAGCAGTATTTCAACAATCATCACCTCAGTCTTGACACCAACATTCTCACAATTTGTATCAACCTTGTCGTGGACTCATCACTCACTACTTGTAAATAAGCTATTCAAGAGATTACTCTTACCCATCCTCACTAGAGTCATTGACAATCCAATGAATGTTTCTCAAATTGTACATAATTCCAATGAAAAGATTGAGGCTGAACTAATTTTAAAAACTATCCAATTCGCACAGGAGAAACTTAGTCAATTTGAACATTTTTCAGATGTTGGTTGCTATGATTGCATTCATCTATTGTACAATATTTATTATTTACTAACAGCTTGCTTTTCACACAGAAACTACAATGGCCGCCCTCTCTTCTCAAATAACAGAAAGCTAGCTAATGAATGTAGATCCATCTTTCCTAAAATGGCTGGAACAATGAGGAGATTGAGTGAAATTCAGTATCAATCATTGGTTTCAAATAGATTAGAAGTTTTCATTACTGGACTTTTCCCTCCCTCCGATAATATCATTTAAGTAAATTAAGAATGGTCAGATATGAAGATTCAAATTCAATAATTAAAACTTATTAAATTATAATAAATAACAAAAAAAATGCCATCATCAAACGAGGAAGAAGTTGTTGCCTTTACTCCAGAGGAAATTCCATCAAGAGATATCTATGAAAAGATCGTCAAGGAATTGGCATCTGGATTAGGATCGGAATATGATGAAACACTTGAAAAATGTCTGATCATGGCCTATCAAGCCGGATTGTTAGCTAATAAGTTTTGTATTGATCGTAAGAATAGTGCTAGTTTGGATATTGAAATTAAAAAAGATGATTCACCAGGTTTGTTTATTTTCCATGTTCTTGGGAATTGAAAGTTTCGTTTTAGTAACTATTGTTGATAAAAAGGTCAATTTGTTTTTAATTGGAGAATTGGAAAAGCATTTCTTAACAGAAAATTCATCAGATATTAGAATTATTGGTGAAGAAGGTGTGAGTTCTAGAAACACAGATGCCACAAAGGATTTATCAGAAGGTCTTGTATTTTATGTTGACCCAATTGATGGAACTAGAGATTTTATTGCAAATACTGGTGAATGGGCTGTAATGATTGGATTATGTAAGGATGGTAAACCAGTGATGGGATGTGTTTATTGTGCTCCTCAAGATGAAATGTACTTTGCAGTCAAGGGTTATGGAGCTTATGTTATTAAAGATAAGAAGGAAAAGTCAACCATTTCAATGAATCAATTCACACCAGAAACTGTAAAGCAAGCTAAATGTTTAATTTCCAAATCAAATTATGATAAGCCAACTGAAAATATTTTGAATGAATTGGGTGTTGACCAAAGAGTTCCATGTGGAAGTTTTGGAAGAAAAGTTGCTTTACTTGCAAGTGGAGTTGGAGATTTATATTTCAATTTCAGTTGTAAGAGTAGTTATTGGGATTCTGCAGCTCCTACTGCACTTTTGGATGAATCTGGTGGTTGTTTATTAAGAAAGAATGGTCAACCAGTTTTCTTCGATGGAACTAGAACTGGTAATGATTATATCATGTTTTGTTGCCCATCATCTGTTGCTTCATTACTCCAACCAGTTGTTGCTAAGCATGTTTCAATTGACTAGATTCCTAATTTAATTATTTTTATTAAATTTATTTTATTATTAAAAAAAATGAAATGAAAGATCAAATACAATCATCGCCATCTACAAGGAAGCCTTTAATTTTCAATGGCAATCAAGATGTTCAAAAGAAGAGAGAAAGATTGGAAAGAATTATTCATCAATTAATTCCCGAAATGAAGAAGCAGAATAATTCAACATCAATTATTGATTCATCGATGGAATTTTATAAAAGACAATTTAATTTTCCAGCAGTGATGAGCAGCAGTTATGATGAACAGGCAAAGACTGATCCGAAATTATTTGGAAAATTATTAAAATCAACACAAGAGATGATGAAAGAGTGTTTGGAAAATTTGAAGGATAATAATTCAATGGAAAATGTGAATGAATCTAATGTTGGAAACAATCAAAGAGTGTCATTTGGTCCATTTTCTCTACTGTTTGATTATTATGGACTCTATTTACCAATGCCACTCGATTTGGCAAAGGAAAGAAATGCTTTTCAACGTTCAATATTTGATTTGAAAATTCCAATGATTGTTAAATCAGACGATGAAATACCAAAACAACAAATTATTAATGATTTGAGATTTTTGAATTTCAATTTTGATGGTACCAATAGAGGATATGTTATTAATAGTTATAGACATCTTCTGGAAGGAGAATACATACAATGTTTAGAGGGAATAGCTTTGCTGACGAGAAATGATGTTTCTTCATTTGGAAGAGATTATTTACTTTATTATATGAAAAGTTTGTGTTATTTTCTACTCGAAGATTATGTAGAAGCTCTCAATAATTGTGAAGAATGTATTAATTTAATGATGAATAAGGAGAAAAAAGGATTTTTGGAATCACTGAATGGATCAAGTACGAATTCATCTATTAGAATGCAACCAGTATTACTCTATGTTTGGATATTGTATAAGATGTTTGAGTTTTCACATGCAGAGATGGTATTAACAATGTGCACTGAGGAAATATTTCCATTCAATGCAGAATCTCACTTCAACATGGCCCAATTTCTTGTTGGAGTACATGGCAGAAAGGCCTCACCAGAAATTGTAGAAAAAATTGGAAACCATCTCAGAAAGTCGTTGGAATTGTACATGAATATGGGAATTTCCATTTCAAATAGCCAAACTCCAAAGAATACCCACATGGATTATTACCCACAAAACATGTACAATTCAATTTTCAAATACTTTAATTTCTATTTACACTTCCTCAATGTTTATAATTTAGCAAATGAAGGGAGACAATTAATTTCTCTATTTCTACACTTTACTAATGACTTATTGATCAAATTCAAGGTAGCAATCAAGATAGACTTGACGGAAGAGATTGCTCAATATCACAATTATGAATCTTTTTTTCCCATAGTAAGACATCCTATTGAGTTGGCATATATGCTAGTTTCTGCAGCTAGATTTTTCGCCAATACAAACAAGGAAAAAGCTGGTCAACTTTACAAAGTAGCAAGTGATTTAGAATTGGTGAGCTACAAGGAATTCAATAGCCCTGAATTTTGTCTTTCTTTCCACTGCAAAACTTGTGGTTGTTTGGAACTATTTTCCATAGCTAAAGAATACAAACAATTTTTAAAGCAAGTTTAACCTTATTTGGGTTTTATTTTACTACTAGCGTTAAATTAAATAAATAAATCCTAGCAATTTGGGCTGACTCTGTATGAATGTGATTGGCAAAAATGATGAATCAATTGGATTCATCACGTTAGTATCATTCACCAAGTGTCTCTCGTTATTAAAACCTCAACAAAATCGAGGTGAATGAACTAATTAGTACATCCAATTGTTCTGGATGTTGGAAGTGGTGATGTCACAGTTTCATCCTTCACTATTGGGTTTGGAGATGTGTTACTGTATTGGACAAATTGTTTGAGTTCTTCATAAAGGAATTTACGCACAGATTCTGTTTTCATAGATTCATCAAATCTATAGTCAAACTTAGAATTACACACTATTTCTTCATCACTCATGTATTGTTCTCTAATACACGAAAGGTAAGGATGTTGAAGAGCTTGTTCAGCTGTGATTCTTCTATCTGGGTCAAATTCTAACATCTTGGACAGCAGGTCAAGAGCTTCTGGAGAGGCGTTAGGGAAATATGTTTTCCAGTCTGGTCTTTGTTTGACTGGTAGCGACTTGAAATACTTGACAGCTTTGAAAGAACCTTTAACTGCACTTTCTTCTGGTGTACCAAGTAATTCAAGTTGTTTGTCTAATACATCGAGAGCAGAAGAACCTTGGAATAAAACTTTACCTGAAGCGAGCATTTCACCCATAATACAACCAATACCCCAAATATCCATTGGTTTCATTCCATATTCATAACCAAGAATAACTTCAGGAGACCTGTACCACATTGAGGCAACATCGTTAGTAGAAATTTTAGAGTCAATATCAACTCCTCTCGATAAACCAAAGTCGCAGTAGGCAATTCTGAAAACCTCATTGACCAAAATATTCTGAGGTTTGATATCTCTGTGAGCAATACCAGAGCTGTGGATAAAGGCCAACCCTTTCAACATATGATACAAAAAGTAAATGGTGTTAATTTCAGTAAATGCTTGATTACTCTTTAAAACGTCTCTAACAGTACAATCCATCAACTCAGTTATAATGAACAAATCCTTCAGTTCATTTTCAGATCTTGGAACAACCAAGTCCTTCAATTGAACAATATTCTCATGTCCATGAACACTATTGTAGTGTTTTAGAATTTTCAACTCTCTAACAATACGTTTTTGATAGTCCTTGTTTTTTTGGAAAATATTGGAAATCTTCTTGATGGCAACTCGTTCATTAGTCCTCGTATCAAGAGCACTAGCAACAACTCCATACGATCCTCTACCAATAATCTTTTCCAATTTATAATATTCCGGTATATCAAATGTTTCTCCTTCCATAATTTGTTGTCTCATTTTGATGTTTTATGATAAACGTTTATCCTAAAATCCTTTTACTTCCAATTTGTTGTATAATGGAAAATCCGTTGAATGATGAAATTAGCCAATAATAAATTATTCACGCAAAGTAATCGTAAAATTAGAGTCGCAGTACTTGTCTAGAAGAAAACCGTTGTAGAAAATTTACGTTGGTTTTCTAGGTGTTTTTTTTTTGATTTTATTTTTAGACGGAATTTGAGCACAAATCCTTTTGAGCAGCGAAGACGTCAAATTTATGCTGGAGAATCACTTTAACGACTTGTCATCGAAATGGCTACCGAAAAAGCCAAATCACGGAGTAATAAAAGATTCATAGAACAGAAGAGGCAAGACAGGAAGAAGTTGCCTTTGAGCAATAAAAGGAAGGGTATTTTTTCATACACAATTGATAAAAATAGAAATAAGGTAATAGGTTATACAACTACAGATGTTGATTAATTATGTTGTGAAGGTGTTGTATAAAATTGTGAAATGCTTTGAAGAGAGTTGGATATTGATAAATACTCAGTTTGTTTTTAAGGAAGTTTAGATGATGAGTATTTTTTTGAGGTTGGTTCTTTAAATATACTAAACCTTATTGTGATGGGAAGAGTTGAAGAGAGTGAATTATTTAATGTTAATATTGCAAGGTGTTTTTACAAGTGAAACTCTTTATGAAAGAAGATGGTTTACAATAAGATATTTTGTGTTAATAATTTTAATATTCTTCTTAGAGTGACGAGTAACGAAGTTTCTTCTTTTGTTCCAAAGCAGCAGCTTGTTTCTTGGCAAAATCTTGTAAGGCCAAATAATCAATCTTGGCTGTTCTATTGAGAGGCATATCCATTCCAGGAGGTAGAAGAAAACATAGGAAGGTCTCTTATAAGCAGCAATATCCTTACATGCTTCTATAATTTCCTTCTCATTCAAAATTAAATCGAACCAACGTTCTGGATCTGTTGTGTGTTGTTTGGCAAGCTCAACAAGGTCTTTCTTCAATTCAACGACAGCAACAACAGCTTCAGAATAAATTTCATGCTCCACACCAACAACACCAACTCTTAAAACAGCGCTTTCATCTTTTTGTTCCTCAAATCTTGACTTTACCATATCCCAAAGCTTTCCATTCTTCAAACTTTGAGGAGCTCCCAATAATTTAAAGTGTTGTTCCAAATGTTCTTCAACTTCACCTGGGAAGACTTGATATCCTTTTGGCTTGATGATGAATTTTCTTCTGGAAGCAAAATGAAGACCTGTTGAATCATATGAACCAATATCACCAGTATATAAAAGGAGATTATAATAATTAACTGGGTGGGTTTGGTTGACAATTCCTGATTTGTTTGTTCCATTCAAATTTCCATCAATTGGATCATAATTCAAAATCTTTGAATAATCCAATTTAGCTGCTGTATCCAAATCTATTGGAATGATAGTTTCACCTGTTGTCTTGGAATCATTCAAATAACCAAGGAAGATTTGAGGTCCATTATGACAAATTTCACCTACTTCTCCTGGCTTTTTTTCTTCTCCTGCAATTAAGAAGACTTTGCCTGTTCTTGGACAAGTGACTTTTCTTGGAGGATCACGAATTGAAATTGGGCAGAAAGGAGCATCAAATCCAATACTTAGAGACATTTGATCAACAGAAATACCAACTGGAGTATATGTACAAAAACCAGCTGTTTCAGTAAGTCCCAATCCTGAACCAATATATGGAGCCATAGCTTGCATTTTATGCAAGAATGGCTTAGTAACAGCTTGACCACCATAAATTGCCATTCCCAAGCTTGAAATGTCATATTTTTTATAGTTAGGTAAAGCCCATTCCTAATAGAGTTAGATTTTGTTCATTGAACATTTTAAAAAAACTTACCATTGAGAAAAGGGCTGGAATTTGTCCAATAAGGTTACATTTGTACTTTTGAACTGCATCAAGGGATTTTTCTGGTTCAAAAACGTGAATAATAACCAATTGACCACCTCCATAGATGGCTGTCAAAACTTGTTCAGTGAGACAACCAACATGTGATGGAGGAAGGTTGCACAAGTTGACCAATTTGTGTGGATTAGGGAAGATACCTGTAAATGCAATTTTGGTAGCCAAATTTTGCATTAAAATACCTTCATGACAAAGAATAGCGGCCTTTGAAACACCAGTTGATCCAGTTGTGAAAATAATGAGATTTGGTGTACGACGTGTGCATTGTGCTTCCATTGAAGCGACTGTTGATACTAAAGAGGATGGAAGGATCATTCCAAGTGACAGTTCCTTAATTCTGTTCATAATATACACACTCTTGGCATCAGACAAAAAGTCAGTAACACTAACAGCACGTGGCATGATAAATTCCTTTTCCTTTTGGAATTGAATCCAATGTGGAATTTTTGAAACAAATCTATCCATTACTTGGTCAATGATAGGACGGAAATCATGAATTGGAGTTTTACCCAAAAAGACAAACATTTTAACCTTTCCATTTCCCTTTGTATCATTTGGTGTAATGCCTAATAATTTATCCAAAGAAACACAAATTTCACTATCTTTCAAACGTAAATCGAGTGGAACAACAATGACTCCCAATCTCCAACAAGCATACATAAAATACAAATGTTCCTTCAATAGAGGAAGATGAGTAACAACGATATCTCCCTTTTTAAAGGATCCCAAAGATAACATTTTGGCAGCAATAGCTCTACTACTGAGCTGAAGCTGAGACCAAGTAACATCTTCTCCAGTATTATATTCACGAATGGCAATATCATTTGGTCTTTGATTAGCGTGCAAATCCACACAATCAAACAATCTAGAAAGACCATTACCGTAAGGATTTAAAATATGCTTATTATATTCATCCATTAACTGTTTACGAATATCAGGATCGGCAAAACTTAATTGTTTTGAATTGCTTGTGTGATTCATCTCCAAAACATTACTATTGTTTTTCAACAAGTCTTGATGAATGAAAATCTCAGAGCCAGATGATGAATTACCCATCCTATCGGAGTACTTTAAATATCCAGCATGGTCATAATGATCCAATCCTCCCAATAAGTTCATATTGGTCAAATGTTTTTCGATCAATTCTTGTTCATGGAATGGAAGCTTGTTCAATTCACTGTTGACCATTTTCTTCTCTAGAATGATGATGACGTAGTGTGGAGTGAGAGGTTAGTTGTTTTTTTTTTGAGGAAGGATAAAGAATACAGCCAGTTTTTGGTGAAGTGTCGCAATAACATTGACAACAAAACTTGAACTCGTTGTGCTTATTGTACTTTTAATTCGTGGACATGTCGGTCATTTAGAGAGAGTTTTTATTGCTTTCCTATTTTCCATGATTCTCTATCAAAGATAATAAACCATGTCTTGATTGGTGAAATTAATTTACAGTAGATAACTGGTAACTATGTCCTGCCTTTTTATTCAGTGTAAAAACGTATTAAGAAAACCTTTAAAACAATTGTACAAGTAATTTCATGAATTTATTTTACAATAGTATGATGGTTTAGTGTTCAACATTTACAGGAGCTTCATCGACAGGAGAGATTGATCCTTCAAGATGCTCAACGCTGAAGACATTGGCATAGAGACCAGCAAGATAGAATTTACCTTCTTGAGTTGTGTTGAGGAATGGTAAAATATTCTTAATATAAGGATAAACTGATTTCCAATAGAATTTAGGATAGGAGTTTCTCAAATCACCTGGGCATTTGTAACCAAGCTTGATTGCTGTTCCTGTTTCTGCAAATTCATAATAGAGAGCTGCAATTTTTTGTAAATAACGAGGTTCTGATAATTGACCAATTAAATCAGCTGCTCTAACAATACCTGGATACCCATTAGAATCTTTTGGATCTTCTCCAATTGGAACTGGGAATCTAGTGAGCTCAATATTCTTTTGAATAACTGATACCTTAATCAGAGAATGTCCACTAAATCTTTCCTCAACAAATAATTTGCCTCTATCGACATGATAAGGGGTTAATGAAGCATCAGTTGAGCCTGATATTACAGTTACTGTTTCTTCTCCTTTTCCAGTAGCAAATATTCCTTGTTCAATGTTATCCTTTTTACAAACTCCTCTAACATATCCTGTCATAATAATATTGATTTGTTATTGTCATCAAATATTTAAATATAAAACCTACCAATATCGTGACACAAGAGACTGATGATACAATGAAGCCAATCTTCTGATGACACTCCTCCTTCTTTAATATGTTTACCTATGATGATATTAGCCTCCGAAATAATCTCTAGCCACACAACTTACCTCTCAAAATCTCCTGACCAACCAAAGTGACATGAATTGTATGTTCAACATTATGATACAAAGCATCACTATTAGAAATAATATCCAATGCCATATTAGCAGCCCAACAAATAATTTCCTGTGGGAGAAGATGATGATTAGATTATATTTGAATATTTGACACTTACTTTGTAGTTTGAATTCAAGCCTCCGTAGGTTTTTTCATAGCCTTTCTTCAACTCTTCGGTGAACTTGTCCAAGAGCAAGGTCGTAACGTTGAACCCCATGATGATTTCGATCTCTATTTATTATTATTCAGCAACGGTTGCACTGATAGTTTTTGTTTGATTTGTTTTGATCTTGTTTTGAAGAGACCAAAATCATGCTTGGTTTTGCTGAAGGTTAGAACAAGGAACCAGACTAGCATGGTTAATAGATTAAACTTTATTGGAAATGTATTGAGAAAGGAATGGAAAGGGTGTTATACTAAAATATTTAACAAAAATCTTATCTTTCTATTTCAATGCCCAGTATGCAATGCAATTGTTGAGAAATTAGAGTTCTATCTAAGATTTCCTCATTGCTAAATAAATGATTTCTTTCTACAAAGTTTCTTATACATCCCATTGTATAATTTGCAAAATAATCTGTGGACAAGAGTGAATATTTCAATGGAAAATGTTTCAGTTTTGAATTCAATTCCCTGTCATATTCAGAAAGTTGTGCTTGGTTTTCCAGACCATTTTCTTTAATAACTCTTTGAACATCTTCCGCAGCAAGACTAAATTCATCTTGTTGAATTGGGGCTTTTGACAGATTTTTATAGAGCTGGGGCAAGAGTTTGGAAGACAACCCAGTCCTTTTCTCCAATAAATCTATATAATGTTTTGTCACACCCACATCCTCATCTAGTTTAGGACTACTGACTGAATGATTGCAAGTTGCAATTTTCTTGAATAAATCCCTTCTTTCCCTAGCTGTGAAATCCTTTTCCATCCAATCTACATCACTCCACTTCTCCAAACAAGATGGTTTACTCCCCATCATGTATTTGCTCATGCATATTTTAATAAATGGATCATAACCATACCATTTTCCTACACCAGCCTTTGTTATTTTCAATTTTTCAAACATTAATTCCTGGCACGAATAGTAATGATAGAACGATAGCAATGTTTTAATCTCTCCCATGTCATGAAATAAATTCCGATCAAAATATTTCAAATCCTCTTCCGATGGCTCGAATCTCATTGGTGGTATTTTTTTTGTTTAATATGGATTTGTTAAATCTTTTAAATTTATTACAATAAACCAGAGTTTAATAAGACAATTATTACAAGATGACAAGTTCTGCAGTGATTCTTGCCAAGTCAATTAGACCACCAACGACACCTAGTTTCAATTTTCCTCCAGATATATTTTCCAGAATGATATTGATCTGATTATTGACTTTACCTCTGACAACCATATTGGAATTGAAAAAGTTTGGAAAATCAATTGTTGGAATAGTTGAATAACACAAACTAAAGAATAGATTGGAATCATCTTGATGAGTCAAATCACTTAATGTCACAGAAACATTCACCTTTCTCAAGGATGGAATTCCACTCCATTCAACAACTGCTTGGTTTGTCATAAACTGAAAAGTCTTGAAATCTTGACTAACCTTTCTATTTGGAATTGCGAATATTTCACCTCTGAAATGTTTAAAAGTTGTTGCAAGAAATGGAACGGTATAATCAACAGATGGGATGATAGAGAAGTATAAACCAATAAAGTTTGTGTTTGTATCGATCCAGTCGACTGGAATAATGAGTGTGGCATTTTGTCCAGAGGCAATCCATTGAAAGTTGCTCTTGCTTGGTTGACCAGTTTTAGTGGAAGCGATCACAATGAGTGGAATGTCGTATTTCCTGTTTGTAGCAACGAAGCTGTATTGAATGGGATGAGATCTATCTAATGGTATGTCAGCAGTTTCAATAGTGGTAAAGTAAAATTGTTGCTTTGCACTAATCTTGAATAGATCCAAGTTGTCATCACCGGAGTCTGTACCATATTCGAGAGCTTCTTGCGCATTATTTGGAGTGTCTGCCAACAAACAAACAGTTGAGGCACTGTTGGTTCTATTGCTGTATGAACATTTTGTGCAAGATGACATTCCTGTATTTGGAGCAATGGTTCCAGAAGGACAATTGAAATATTGGCCATTGCCTGGACAGTACTGACCGAAACCACAAAGGATACATCTGCTCTCATGTGGGACATTATTATCATAATATCCAGGTGGGCAGTGAGCGAGAATCATGGTTGACCAGTGGCATAGTACAATGAGGAATAGAAAACAATGTTGTTTTCTCATTTTTTAACGTTGCTGAGCAGAAAGAGCTATTCAAAATACACTAATGTGTTTATTTAACACTTTCCTCCTCGGAGATATATGTTACATTTTCATTGAAATACACAACCCATACTTTCAGGTGGTTTACAATGACAAGCTTTTGATGTGTGGTATCTACTGTTTTGAAATTTACTGGGAGTAGTACCATATTGTAATTCTCAAATTTATTAATCATCTGCTGAGTATTCAAAAAAGATGCATTTTCCACTATTGGTAACAAATACTACAGCCAATGACCCAAGAATTCCAATCAAACAACTTTTATATTCAGTAACAATTGGACATTCTTTCTTAATGAAAGCTAGAAATTCTTCAAGGTTGGAGATTTCTTCAACACATTCCTCTCCTCCAATCACTTTTTTCAAAAAGTCAAACAAGTTGTTGTCAAATTCCTGCTTGACATCCTCAAATGATCTGCCTACATACATTTGTGGATAGAATGATTCTCTTTCACAACTTGTAAAATACTCAAACCGTTCCTTAATATTACAATCTATGGAAATGTTCTGATATTCGTAAGTTTTTAAGTAACTAATAGGAACCGAACCGGCTACAATGGTAATTATTTCCTTCATCAAAGCTGAAAATAATTCTCTAATTTTCTCATCATGTTTGATCATTCTTCTCAAAAAGTGAATTCCAAATACATTGGTATTGAAACTCATTTTGAATATTCTTGCTATTCCCCCACTGACATAATTGAGACCAGTCATTCCATTATATGAAACTAATTCAAAATCTTTTGGACATTCATACGGCAAGATATTTTGAGCAAACAATCTTTTCATGTCCATCTTCTCGGTCAAGTTATCAGTGGGTGGATCATGTAGAATGGAAATGGAGTGCTTATTAGCAAGTATTTTCAACAAGTTCAAGTTTGTACCTTGAGTTGCTTCAATTTTCCAATTTAACATCTTGTGCCATTCCTTGCAAACCAACGCACAGTTTGCCATACTTGAAAATTGCCACTGCTCATTAAAACCATCAAAAAGATTCACAAAGATTTCAATCCACAATTCTGGGAGGATTTGTTTCATTTTTTAGCTTGATCTTGTCATCTCTTTCCTTGTGCACAAGGAGTTCAAGATATTGCAATCATTGTGAGTGAATTTTGCAATGGTTTCTGTATCTTAAGCTTTGGAAAAACTGTAACCTTGAATTAAACAGCAAATTACAGTGAAGAACGGGTATGGAATTTGTTCTTCCTTTACAACAGAAAGGTAAACATTCCACCAATTTCTGGCCAATCACACAACAATCAAATAAAAAATGTCTGAAGCCGAATTCATTGCTACATCAACAACAACCAACGAAGATCAGAAACCTGAACTAACAACAGGAGAATCCAACAATCTTTCCCTCGATTTTAGTATTAAATTCGATTTGGAGAAGGTCATTGAAAAATATTCAGCAAGCGCATCATGGAATGAAACTTCTAGAAAAACCTTCTCTGATTTCCTTCATCACTTCTTGATTTATGTACTGATGAATAGAGGAGAGAATCAGAGAAAAGTTTTCACTTTAAAAACCTCATCAGAAGGAGAAGCTTCAATCATCAAGTACATGAAGGAACATACACCAGAAAGCATTGAAAGAGCACAATTGAATGACCCCGATAATTATACAAGTGGTGACTTGTTTGAAGAAATAACCAAGGAAAATGTTGCTGAAGATTTGAAACCATTTGCACATTCTGAAAGTATTAAAGCAATTTACAAGTTTACTGATCGTTCAAATGGTGAACAACCTGTCACTCACCAAGTGATTCATCTCTCCTTTGATTTTGAACAAGTTAAGGAGTTTATTTTGGAACACTTTGAATTTCATCAAGATGTGTTTTGCAGAGAAGTGAGCTTGACTTGTATTTGTGCTGGTTTTTCAGCCTTGTTGGAATATATTGCTGCAGAAATTATTGAACTCTCAGGCAGATTCACAGAGGAGAAAGTTTTGACCGTAGCTGCTCTCCAGAAAGGTTTACAATCTGACCCAGCACTTTCCTCCTTGCCATGTTCTCATATCATCCTCGCTCAACTTCCTTAATAAATAACAGAACTGGTAACTCTATCACAATCTATGTTGTTCTCTGGTACCGTAGAGTAGAAAATCTATCAATCCATCCTAAAAATCTTGATTATTTAACACACCATTCTTGTGGAGTTACTTCTCCGAGATAGTAAAACAAGAGTAATTATGACCATTACAAAAAAATGTCTTCAACATTGGCAGGTGAAGAAGAATTGCCACGTGTTAGTCAAAACAGTGCTTCGGCAACTAATGAGAGAAGTGATAATTCTACTACGCTTAGAAATAGATCATCGCGAGCAATAGAATCAAATGATAGTGTTAGTAACACATCGGAGGATGACGAAAGTAAATCTAAAGGAAAGAAAGCCCAACGCTCAACCATCAATACAATCACCACTTTAGTAATTTTCTTTTTAATTTTAGGAGGTGTGATTTTTGCATTGAAAATCTATTTTGATGGAAAGAGAGAAATTAAACAGAGAGGCAATATGTTGAATTCACAACTCAGAGTTGAGACTGAAAAAGATCAAAATTATGAACAACCAACAAATAATAATAACAATGAACCAAGTATTACAGATAAAGTATTATCAAATGAACAAACATCAGAACAATCAACTTTACAACAATTGGAATCACAAGCTAAACCAGAGGAAAGCATCATAACAGAGCAAGAATCAGCTCCTCTGCCGACTTCAAACATAGTTAATGAAGAATCCAAACATGAAAAGCAGATTATTAGTAAGGAATCAGAATCTCAACAGCCAAGCACTCATGCAGAGCAAAAGGAAGAGCACACTCCTCAAGATTTTCCATCTGTTGAAATTGCAGATGAAACTACAGATGAATTCAGAAGAAACTCTGTAAGAAATGCATTTTTACATGCATGGAGAGGTTATGAAACATATGCATGGGGACATGATGAAGTAAGACCATTAACAAATGATGTAAGTTGAGTTTAAATTAATCCTTTCTAAAATATCTAGTCAAGAGACAACTTTGGAAATATGGCTGCGACTATTGTTGACAGTTTAGATACTATGTTTATTATGGGTTTGAAGGATGAGTTGGAGAAAAGCAAACAATTTATCAGTACTCTTAGCTTTGATAAAGACCAATGGGTATCTGTTTTTGAAACTACCATTCGTTATGTTGGTGTAAGTTTTGAAATATTCTCATTATAATTTAACAATTTCACAAATTACATTATTTCACAATTCAAATGATGAATTACAATACAGGGATTTTTGAGTATCTACGACCTTACAAAAGATTCTGTCTACTTGTATAAGGCACAAGAAATTGCTGAAAAATTATTGCCTGCATTCCATAAGGATACATCTTTCCCTCACACTGAGGTTAATCTTCAATCAGGATCTTTTAGAAATGCTGATTGGCATAGAACCACATCAATTCTATCTGAAGCAGGATCTATTCAATTGGAATTTAAATACTTGTCAAAACATTCAGGTGATAGAAGATTTGCACAACATGCCCAAAAAATCATGGAAGTATTGGATTCTCAAACCAAGGCATATGAAGGTCTTTATCCAAGCTATCTCAATACTGAAAATGGTGCTTTCCATGGAGACCATATCACTTTAGGAGCTTTAGGAGATAGTTTTTACGAATATCTTTTAAAGCAATACTTGATGACAGGAGATGAAAAATTCCACAGAATGTACAGAGAATTTGTTAGAGGTCTCAAGAAATATCTTATCAAAAGATCAACTCCAAACAAATTAGTCTATATTGGAGAAATGAGAGGTGGGGTTGTACAAACAAAATTTGACCATTTGGTTTGTTTTGCTGTAAGTATTATTATTTGTTTCATTATTTTAACACCTAATTATCAAACTATAGGGTGGCATGTTAGCTCTTGGATCTCTCGAATCAAGTAATATTGGAATGAATGTTACAAGAGAAGAATTGGATGAAGATATGAATTTGGCTAAGGAACTTACTCGTACATGTTACGAAATTTACAAAAGACAACCAACAGGTATTGGATGTGAAATTGTAAACTTTTCAAGTGAAACAGATGATTTCTCCCTTCAAGCTCCTCATTACATTCTTAGACCAGAAGCAATTGAATCAATCTTTATTTTGTACAGACTAACTGGTGATAAAATGTACAAGGAATGGGGTTGGAACATTTTCCAATCTATTGAAAAGCATTGTAAGACTCCAATTGCCTATGCAGGTCTGAAGAATGTTCTAATTGTAGACGGTGTGAGAGATAATGCTATGGAATCCTTCTTCCTTTCTGAAACTCTCAAATATTTGTATTTATTATTCACAGATGACCAAATTCCTCTAGATAAGTATGTGTTTACTACTGAAGCTCATCCACTCTCAAGATTTGACACTCAATAAACACATTATTCCTTAATTGACTTGGTTCCCAAAAGTCAAAGCCCATGTAATCCAACTTCCAAATTGAAAAGATTCTGCAATGGATTTCCATCTCTTCACAGTAATTACTACCACTCTATAATAGTAGTAAATGTAGTTGCCGATTTCAACAACATAACAAGCTGCTTTACAATCAAAAACCTTGAAAATCCGCATAGGGTTAACCTAGCTCGTGCGTACAATTGTTTAATAAACCCTCTTTATGCTACTAGAGCCTGCAAGCAATCATTCTTGAAAAAATACGGCCGCACCCTCCATTGCGAGCGCAGAGAGAAATTGTCCAATAGTAGTAGTTTGTGCTTTCGCGAGAGAGAACGTTCGCTGATAAACGTTTACGATTCAACAACATCATACGAATTTCTAATTGATCATCACCATCATCTAAAGTGACTGACATCAAAAATGATTAACGAAGAAGAAGTACAAGTAGGAAAATTATCTAACAGCCTTCGTGAACAACCTATTGAACAATTTTCGGCAATAGCTTGTGTGCAGGTAAGTGATGGTAAAATATTATAGCCTGTTTTAATAGTAGTGTTATATAGTGTAGAAAAGGACATCGTAAATGTGATAAAAAACTTCCTAACTGTAGTAATTGTAAGAGACTTGGAAAAGAGTGTTCGTATAGATCACCAAAGAAGAGAGGACCACAACCAAAGAAGGGTGGAGACGAAAATCCTTTGGCTATTCCCGAATTACATAACCATGAAGAAGAAGAGGAGGAAGACTCTGTCATTCCTGAGGATGCTCAAAGTAATATGAGAAAGAGAAAACACACTGAATCAAACGAAATTAGACCAAACATTGACTCTGAATTTGTTACACCTGGAGCTGCAACCTCATACGGAACTGATTCAGCAGAAAATACTTCAATTTCACCAAAGGAAATAACCATAGACCAATCGGCAACAAGATTATCTGAAGAATATATCAAAAAGCTTTGCTTTGATGTTTATAAGGAAATTGTTGGAGATTCTTTACCAGTTAACCAAAGATCAAAGATGGATAAGTTGATGAGTCATTCCTTGTCCAACAGTAGTGTTGTCACTGGTGCTGTTAAAAAGAAGAAGTTTATGCATGAAATTGATGTACCTGATTTGGCTTTGCTCTATGCTTTACAATCTGTTTGCTTCCAAAGAATTGGTCAACATGATTTGTCAAAACAACTTTACCAAAGATCAAGACAAACCGTTTCCACAGTTTTTGATAATATCACAGATTTTAATGTTGTTTGCTCATATGCCTATCTTTCAAGTTACCTTGTAGGAGAAGGAGACTTTTTGGGTGCTAAATTCTATTTGAATTCAGTTCTCTTTTATCTTGAACAACAAAAACATAACACTAGTGAAACAGATTCATCCTTTTTGAAGGGTTTAACAACAGTCATACATTTGGCTATGGAAGAAGATAAGGCTCAATGTTGCTTCTTATTGAATAGATTGTTATCTCTCATCATTCATAACCACCCAGAACTTAATATTGAATCATCTGAGAATGGATTTATTGTTTGTGAAGAAGAACTTTCAGAAAAGATGAAAAAACTTGACCTCTTGACTACATCACTCAGCACATCCTGTACAGATACTTTGTGTTCCTCAAAGAAGGATTTGAGCAAAATTGTTTATTTGATGTATCTTGATACTATGAGAATTAAGGTCTTGGAAAAGCATGGCCTCAAAGATTCCATTCAAGTTAAAGAAGCTGCTGATAGAATTACCTCACTTACAAGAATACCTACATTCGAATTAGCTCCTGTCATTGTAATCAGATCTTTGGCCATTGCCGCTAGAGTTCACTATAATTTATTAGTCAAAGATCTTGCTGCTTACCAAGATGACATGTTAGTAAGAGCTTTGAGTGACGACTTAAAGGCACTTAAACTTTTGGGTACAAAGTATGAAGTTGTCAAGACTAGATTCCAACAATTGATAAGAGATATTGAATTACTTCTTGAACAAGCAGAATTATTCAAAGTACAACGACACAACACTACAAGTAATCCAAACACAAATAATTTGAATAACTTTGATAATACTGATGTCTTCTCTATGATTAATTCCAATCCAAACTTTTATACTCCTTACCTCTATAGCCAAGATATGATGCCGTTGATGCTTGGAGCAAACAACAGCACTGCACATACAGACCAAACTCTTCAACACTTCCTCAACAATACTAACAATAATAATAATATTTTTGGATCCTCAACAAGTACCACAATTCAATCCAACTAGTAATAATAACGAAGATGCTTTCCTTCCTTCATTTGATGCCTTTGCAGCAATGAATGATCACACCTTTGCTATGAATGTTAATGGAACTTCTTTACAACAAAATAATTTAGACTTTTTGGATTCACTGAATGGTTTATTCCAATAATTGTAAATTTAATAAACTTGTAAATACATTGTAAAATAAGTAGTTTTTATAATATCATCGCACTATCGGCACAAAATCGTACACAAAAAAACATCCTAATGAACGAAACCTCTTCTTTCCTTGTTGCTCTTGGTCCTTCCTCAATGGTCAAATAAAAAAGTATCACCAAACAACTTTATGTTTTTATCAAAGAAAATGCTCTCAACAGGATTAGCCTCTCTTTTGTCACTCTCTGGAGGTGCTTGTTTGTGGCACTATTTATTCAATTATGAAAATCCAATTCTTCACTTCAATGACAAGGAAGAATCGTGCAAGGAACTGTTACGAGACATTCCGATATTAAAAACTTTAGACAAGACAAAAAAAGTTGGAGACTATCAAGTGCCATACTTGGAAGAAAAGGTTTGTTTTGAGTGGCATACAGTATATTGATATTTTAATAATTTAATTGGAAAATAGTATCGTTTTCCACTCTTGATTGGAAACTTTTCACTTTTACATGATGTAATGCCAACCTTACTGTTACCAATTAGAGATTTATTCCTTGGATCTGATAATTTACAATTTGAAACCAAGTTTTATGAGGATTTTGATCCATCTTTGGAGGATATTTGTTTGGATTTTTATAAACCTAAAAAGGAATCAAATGAAAAGAAACCAACACTACTTGTATTTCCAGGGATTACAGGATCTTCAGAATCGTACTATATTCACAGCTTAATTAGAAGTGTTGAGGATGAATACAATATTGTAGTTTTTAATAGACCTGGATGTCATTCACAGAGAAATATTAAATTGAAGAAGGCAAAATTCTTCCTCAATTCACATAAGAGAACTGTTGAAAGAGTTATTGATATAGTATCAAAGTCCTATGAAGGAGCTGAGATTTTACTTGTTGGTTATTCAGCTGGTGGGGTCAATATTACCAAACAATTGGGATCAACAAAAGTGAAAAAGAATCCAAAGGTTATTGGAGCAGTGACTGTTTCACAACCTTTTGATATGCTAGAAACTCTTTCTTCTTTGGAAACCAATCCTGCCTATAACAAGTTTATGGTCACATTTATTATGAATGTTTTCAATAACAATCAGGAATTGATTAAGAGGGAATTACCTCACTTGGACGACGAACTTATGAAAAAGTGTAAGACTGTTAAACATATTGATACCTTTCTTACTCAACCAATGCACGATTTGAATGATATTAACATTGATTTTTATAATAAGAGATCAACATTTATGAAACATTTACAAAGAATTTCAGGAGAAAAGACACTCACACGTGTCAAGACAACTGTGAATCAATTGGGAGAAGATATCTACTATGATGAAAGTAATGAGGAAGAATCATCTCATAATAACTCATCAAGAGATGAAGAATATCATGCTCCAGTATTTTGCATATTGGCCAAAGATGACCAAGTCATTACATATGATTCAGCCAAAATGTCTGAAATTGTTCATGCCAATGGAGCTAAGAATTTATATATTATTGAGACACAACACGGGGGTCATTGCTCTTTCCTTTCTCAATATTCTCCTTGGGCTCCTTTGGCATTGAACTTTGAACAAGCATTTTCAGACAAGGTCACATCCCAAGCATTGAGAGCGATTGTAAAGAAATATAAAACTTTCCAAGCCAAGTCTGAGAATAAATAACATATTTGGATTATTACCTTAATATTCCGAACACTCAATAATTACATTATCTCCTTCATCACAATAATCATCTCCTCCAATTCCTAAATATTAAAATAATATTTTCATAATAATAATTGCAAAAATGTTTTTATAATGCGTGAGTTAATTGTTTGTACATTATATAGATGATGAAGATAGAATTGGGTTGGTGTGTGTAGAGGTGAAAATGTGGAGAGATATTGTGAATAAATTAATTATGAACCTAGTTGTTGGCCTTTGAAGCAAGGAAAGCTTCCAAAGCTTTTGGTAATAAACCATAACCTTCTTCAACACCACTAACGATAGCTGATTCTACAATTGTACCAATACCCCAAGCAGAGCAAGAAACTTCAATTTCCATAATATGTGTGCAACTATTATCATCAATTGGTTCGAAATATTGACGAGTTGAAATTGTAAGATAATCTTCATGGACTGGAGGAATTGTATGTGAAATAATTTCTTGCTTTGCTTCATCTCTTTGTTGGACATCAATGTAGTGGAATTCTGTTTGGCCCAAATACCACAACATGGCACTTGGAATTGCATAATCGGGATAAACTTTAACTCTTCTCTTCAAAATATTTGGTTCGGTACAAGCAGTATCATGTTCAATTTCAATCTTTTTGAATTTAAGGTATGGTGCAGCGAATGTATCAAATTCATCCGAGAAAATAATTTTCCAATAGGCTTCCTTGCTCATAGGAACGACGATTTTGCATTGATGGTGGACCATTCTGTATGTTTAGTTGTTGTTTTGTTTTTTTTAATGTTTTTTCTCTAACGGTTTTATCATGAAAAGCGCTCCTGCCTTTTGGTTGAAGTAAAATTTCAAACAACCCTTCACTGCGCTGCAATTCTTCTTTGTGTTATTAAAAAAACAAAGGCATTGAGTCGGAAATGTCCTGTTGAGCGATTGTCGGGCTGGAGTTGGCTAATGACATCGCATTACTCGGGTGTTGATGGAGGTTTCAATCTCTATTGATATCGTGTTTGGCTGGGTGATGAAATTAAAGATGATGAGGCTTCTTCTTACTTAAAATCCTTGTAAGGAATGAAGGTTTCGAATTGATATCCAAAATACTAAACTCCTTTCAATTTTTTAAAAATAGAGCATTCAAATTGAATTTGGTTGACTAACAAATTTTAAAGATATTCAATTTGTATCTTAATTCTTATGGAAGTCATTTCATATTTACTGCCCAATATTAATCATTTCCGAAAAAGTTGTAACCAATTTTATCCTTCAACCTTAAATGTTTGAAACTTGATCACTTGGCTTTCTCTAAATATTACAAGATCTTTTTCGACATTTCATTTTAGATCCAAGAATTGTCTAGTGCTTCAAAACAGACTTTCTTAAATCATTTATATCCACTCTAGATACCTTACTTAAATTATCAAGTGCTGATGGATCATGTTTCATAACTATTTCGTAACGTTTAGCAATGCTATACTTGCAATAATCTTGCATGATCTTATCATTTACTGTTTCACAAATCTCTAATAGTCGAATAGTGGTAAATACATCAAATTCATGTTCTCTAATGAATAGTTTAGAAGCTTCCATTAGTTCTTCCAGTTCAAATTGGAATGAAGACATGAAGATTTCTACTGCGTTGGAAAGATCTAGCTCCACAATATTACCAGTGTAAACAAAATGTAAAATTGACAATAGACCTTTGAAGGTATTCTGCTCAATTAAAACAACTCTAGTATGAGACTCTAGGAAGTTCATTTCAAACACAGCATTAAAATATCTACATCTTTGAGTCAAAATAAACTTGTGGACAAGAATAGATTGATATGTTGAGCTATCTAATGAGGTAGGGGCAATGATTTTCACCATTCCAGGTGCAATTGGATTTTCATCAATAGTTGTCATGAAATCTTCAATATTCGAAATGGTTTCACATGGGCTGAATAAATGGTCAAGTTGAATGGTTATAGTGGATAATAGATTCTTTGTTTCCAGTGAATCATCAACATTGAGTGTTCCATCAAGAGCTTTGTAAAGTAGTGGTATTTCTAAGTAACAGGCCACCTTGTAAATGTCTGAATAATCTTCAGACTTTAAATCCTTTGTTGAGAAGGATCCAGAATATAAATATTCCAAAACTGAATTGAATGACCTTCTCAAATTTTCTACGTTTGATGGGAAATCATCCAAGAGGATAACAGCATGGCTGCCATGCTTCAAATTACGCCACTTATTATGGCCTTCTTGTTCCAATATTTTTCTTGACAATACTGGTGATCTTACAAGAACTAACTTGAATCCATAAAATAATTCTTGCTCAACTTGGTTTGGGATGTTAACAAGAATGGTCACGTCACACTCTTCTGGAATTTGCTTCTTAAACCAATTCAAGTATGTTTGTGAGAGTAAAAATTCATCTGTTTGACGTTTGTGTTGAAATATTCTGTAACTTGGCTTTGTATTTGAAATTGTAAAGTCAATTTTTCCAGTCGCTAAAGTAGCAAATGTGTCCAGTATTGAAATGAAAGGGAAAGGTAAGTCCAATCCTCCTAGTAAGTAAATTATTTTCTCTGATACAGGTACAATACTACTCATAGGATTATATGAATTAAAATCAGAACTAATACTATTAGTATAACCTTTTGCTATTTTCCATTTAAATTCTTCTTTGCTTGTTTCAAAAAGAGAATTATTCCATTCTACACCATTCCAACCTCCAAATAGGTAGATATTATTTCCTATAATAAACATATTAGAAAAGCATAATTTTGGATTAATGGCATATTCATCAGATAAGATAGGATGGAATAAATCTTGTGAAATGTTATATCTGTAAATATCTGAGAGAATATTTCCATTAGAATCCATTCCTCCAAAAACAAAAATATTATCCCCAACTATGGTCATTGCAGATCCAATTCTTTCACTCGGACAAAATTTGGATGCTGAAGATTTGATACTTAATGTTGGAATATGTAATGAGTACATGGTATTGGAATATTTTGAGGTGCTTCCATTAAAACCCCCAAATATGTAGAGAGTGTCAAAAAGTGTAACTGCAGAGTGACAGCATAGAGGTGGTAAAAACTCATTACTTCTGACATCCGAAGAAAAGTCCATTGAAATACTAATTAAGTCAGAGGAAATGGATCCAGTTTTTTCAATTCCTCCATAAACTACCATCTTATTCAAGTGTGGAAGGTAATCAAAGGTGTGAAAGATTCTTCCCTTTCTACTTGTTGATTGAGTAGCTTTCTTTTGTTCCAAATCAAATTTGATAATGTCGTCAGTGATTCCTTTTCCAATTGCAAACCCTCCATATGTTACAATACAATTTTTGGATCTAATAAACACAGATTTGTGTAAAAATCTTTTAGAAAGAGGGTTAGGCTGCTTCTCTGTAATACATTGCTTCTCGAAAATCTTATTAGAAAAAAATTGTTCAATGGAAAATGAGCCCTTATGCATAAATTTGATGGTATTAAGCTCGTAATTATCTGACTTTTTGGTAATTTTGTTTTGATTGGCTTCTGAAATGTGTAAACTATTATATGTAAAAATAGTAAGTACTTACTGTATGGTTTATCAGAGAAATATGAATAGCTTTTTTCAATTGGAGTTAAGACTATTTCTTCTTGATTATTGAATTGGGCTAGTGTTGTTGTAACCCATTGATTGACCTCGTTTACGATAGTTGTCACATCTTTAATGGTAGCCATTTTAACCTGAAAAAATCAGTGATTATTATACTATATTGTCATTTACGTACTTTGATATGATTGGATAATTGTTTAGAGAGATCTTTCACGAACATGTATTCAATAATTTCAGCCATTTGTTGTGCTTGAGAGAAATCACATTCGGATAATAATTTCTTAGAACTTCCCTCATCAAATCTATTCAAAACTTGAAATCCAAAAATTCTTTTTAAATTATACATTTTAAATATGATATCCAAATCAGCTCGGAGCAATCTTTTTTCAATTATTGCAATTGTACTTTCTGGTTTGAATCGGATAGACAAACGAATTTGTGGTTCTGTTTCATGATTAACTTCCTCATAATTAAATGATGGAGAATATGATACGGATGAGCTTTCGTTTTGGGTGCAACTGTTCAAAATCAATTGCCTAAATTCTGGTGTGAATAATTCAACATGGTGTCTGGGCATTTTTTGAAATTTAGTGCAATTTACAAATGCAACGGTAATTAGCAGAATTTCAATAGGCTTACTTTTATTCTGATGCAAATCATTTTGAGTTTGGAGTTGAAAAGTTAAAGAGATTATTGACCTCCAAATTCATCAGATTCGTAAACCAATTCAGATCTTAGGGTTGTGGATTTTTCAGTTTGAGAAAAGGATGTGTTAGCTTTTGAAGGAGTGGAGAAATCTAACTTTTTTCTTGGGGTTGTCATTGGAGAGGAAGAAGGGGTTTTAGAAATATTGAAAAAGTGTCTTGGAGATGGATTTACATATGGGATAAAGTCTTGTTTCTTTTCTTGTTCCAAAGCTTGCATTTCCTTTTGTTGGAGAAGAATCTCATTCAACATTTCTTCTCTACTTTTCACTCTACTGGAGAGACTGTGTAATACATAATTCAAATATTTAGCAAGCATTGGATCCTTATTCTTATTTGAAATTTCCTTAATGTAGGATTCAGTTCCCATATCAACAAATTCTTTTTTACAATGTGCTATTGTATGGGAAATTTTGAATATATCTAATAATTATTTACATACGATTTTGACAGAGCCAATAAATTAATCCAACTACAGTTATTCTTACATTCAAATCATCAACTTTAGAAATAATTTCCAAACTAGAATTACACATATTGAGTCTCTTCATTGCGATACAACTCTCTTCTCCGTCTTGAGCAAATAATTGAAGAGTCCTTGCACAATATTCCCTGATACGATTTTGCTTTGTTTTTAATGCCAAAGTGAGGGAACTGATAACTCCAGTATCGAGCATTTGCTGTCTGTGACTGGCTGTTTGTGTGATTGTTATTAATTTTAAACGATCACCTTGATACTTACCAAACAAACTCAAAGTGTACAATTGTTCAAAGGCTTCCAGAGCATCATCTGTATCCATTCTCTTCAACAAATTTCTAGTTTCTGATTTCACTGCTGATGGTGTTTTTTCAGTATATTTAGCCTTAACTGCTGATACTTCATTTCCTCCTTGTGATGATGATTGTTCTTCCTCCTTCTTAGCTGTTCTAAAAGCCGAGAAGGGTGTTGAGGCAGAAAAACCTTCCTCATTGTTGTTTCTTGATGGTGTTTGGAAGATTGAAGAGCTTGCTTCTCCATTGCTCAAACCTCTTTGTCTTTCCTCTGGAGCGGATGTTGTGGAAGAGTTTTGCTCATTCATTTTAAGATGGAAAATACTGTGAATCAATGAAACAGTTGGCGCCAATTACTCTGTAAATTCATTTTGTATCTTCATTGAAAGCGCTAATATTCAGAATCAAAAAACAATTTTGGCGCCTTTTGCTTGTACAATTTTTTCAAAAATAATGTTCAACAATGATCGCATGATGGAACGACACCATCAAGGCCAACAATATAATTATAATAATGGAATGAATGAACAATTTTCTTCTTCTACAAATAATCAAAGGTCGTCAAGATCTGGTGGGGGAAGAAAGTCCCCTCCTCCAAGATATTCTTCTCTAACCCCTGATTTTGATATTGGTCCTCCATCATCAAAAACCTATTCAAGTTATGCACCAATGTCCTCTGAACCAAATCCAGCATCAAGGACGAGAAAATCAATGTACTCTAATGAACTACCACCAAGCTATGAATCCTCTGTATCTCCAACCCATTCTCCAAGTCTTAGTAATAATAATAACATGATGGAATCAAAACGAAGAGAATACCTTCAACAAAAATTAACTCACCTCAAGAAACAAAATACAACCTCGTTGGAACATTTCAATATTGTTAGAGAAGATGTTAGACAAAGTAAGGAAATGATGGAAAAACAAATAATGCAAACATATGGAATGATGAAACAAAGATTGGAATCATTACTTCAGGACTCCCTAAGAACACTTCAAGATATCGAAAATGATATGACAGAACCACTAGATACGAAAATAGATCAACTGAAGAAAAATATGAGATCTATTGATATGACCGAGTCAGTTCTCTCTCGTCAACCTTATTCCGATTCCGTTAAGGAAAAGGTTGATTTATGTTTAAAGACAAACATTCCTCCATTTTCTTCTGATATTGATATTTGTAAATTGACAGACCAAAACACCTTTTCATTGCTTCGAGCAAGTGCTGGTTTTTTGGCTGATAGTAATGGATTGTCCTCCATGAAACAACCAACTAGCGGCAGTGGTAGAGTAAACCAATTGCATAATATGGATAAACCAAGATATGAACAAAAATATGAGTCACGAGAAAAGGACTTGAAAGAATTCAAATATTCAGAACCAAGTAGTAAATATAAGGAGCGAGAAAAGCCAAACACTAGAAATATTCCACCAAGTTTTGATAATTTTGATGATGATTCAAAGAGTGACGTGTCTCTAAATAATGACTATGAATACCCTAGGAATTATAACAGTAAGGAAAAGAAGCAAACGATCAGAAGAATCTCACCTGACTTTAAGGACGACAAAAGTGATAGACATTCAATTTCAGATTCAGTAATTGCTAGTTATCAACAATTAGAGGATTTATATTCTCAAACTAAGAATTTTGCTGTTTTTAAAGGCACTAACTTTTAATAAATTACAAATTTAGTAAAAGAATTGTGATTAAATCTAGTTGTAGTTAAATGAAAATGGTTCCATAATTGTGGCTCCTCCCACTTTCTTAGAATATACTTTAGGTCTGAATACTTCTTCGTTTCTTTCTCGCCTTTCTTCTTCAATTCTCTTGGCTCGTTCTCTTCTTTCAATATGTCTACCTAGACCCTTAATTACTATAGGGGTATCTGCTTCTAGTGAAGGCTTTCCTTCATTAATTGTTGGTTGGAATGTACATTCTTGGAGTTGTTCACACTCTAATTCTATAAGTGCCTTAGCTCTCTTAATTTCTTTTTGTTTCAAGAATTTTTCTTGCTCGTTGATTACTGCATAAGGTTTTCTGTCTTGAAGATATTTATCATTTTGTGATACTAGGGTTGGTTGGAAACTATAGTTTTCTTTTTCCATAACTTTAAGAGTGAGTTCTTCTTTGATTCTCTTACTTTTGGAATTATTGACAAGCTCTTCCAAGTCGGTTGGAGCAGCTATTACATTTGAAACTTGATTAATCGTTGGATGAAATGAAAATTTAGAATAGTATTGTTCTGCAATCTCTGTTTTGATGTGATCCATTCTCTTCTTGTCTCTGTTAGTGAGCCTATCATAAATATCTTCCATTGTACCTGCTCTATTTAGATTCTTCTTACAAATATCATTCGATGTTTTTGAAATAGATGGTTTGAAATTATATTGAGCTTGCTCTGTTTTTGACATGTATTCCTGTTTCATCTTTTCTCTTGCTTCATACATCTTTTGCCTTTCAAAGAATGATTGTTGCTTTGTTTTTGATTGTACAATCTTCTTAGAGACTGGATTAACTTGTGGTTGGAATGTACAATCTTCAAGCTCCTCCTTTTTAACTTCCATAAATCTTCTTTTTGCCTTCTCCTTTTCCATTAATGTTTGATCATCAATACTATTTACTCTATCAGTGATTGGAACCCTATTTTTCATAGCAGCAACAATTCTTTGTGATTCTCTGCTTATGGCCGGAGCACTTCTCAGTTTTTTTCTCTCTTCCTCGTGTTGTTGTTGCTTTCTTAATTTTTCCTTTTCGTACCTCTCCAATTGCATTTGCCCAACTCGTTCATAAATTGGTTTTCTATCCTCCATCATAAACTCATACCTTTCCTTATCTTGCCGCATGGTGAAGTTAATGATGATGGTCTTCTCTATCGCTTAAATTACTCGTTTTTTTTAAGATGAAAAAATCGTAACGGAAGAAAAAAGATTGGCGCCATTTACTCTCATCCGTTATCACAACAAGCCCAATCATTCTAAAATATTAAAAATTTTAATTTCTAATATTGCCCAACAATACTATGAATAATACGGTCAATTGATTCAATAGTATTTTTTAATACCTTCATCAATTATTAATAATATCAATATTAATATTAATCATCAACATCCAACATTCAATATTTTTTTGAAATTTTTGAAAAAACAACACTCAAAAAAAATGAGCAAATCACAAGAAACAAAACCAGAAGATTTATTTGGTGGTTCCGTGGAGAAGGAAGAGGAAGTTGTGGATGAATCCATCAAGAAGGAGGAAGAACAAGAAGATGAAACTTCTCAAAAGAAAAGAACAGAACCAACTTGGGCCACACAGTTGAGAAAGGATGAGTTAAATTTACAACAATTAATTGCCGATTCTAATATTGAAATTGATGAAAAGAAAACACTTACACTTTTACAAGTACAAGAATTATATAGTATTGCAAAGAAGGAACATCAAAATGCTTTAACAAATCACGAATCGGAAGCAGATCAATTCGAAAAGGAATTCATTGAAAAGGGTACAATCATGGATAAAATTGCTTCCTTGTCCTTGCTTGTACAAGAAAAGCCAATTTTGAGACTGAACCACATTGATGAATTGATTACAATTTGTAATCACCCTAAGAATCACAGAGCTGCAGAACTTGCTGTCAAGACTTCTACAGATTTGTTCCAAAATTTACTTCTTACACACAGAACACTTTTTGATTTTAAAGAAAGAGAAAAATCAAACAATTCATCAATATCTATGTCAACAATATATCAAGCTGTTCATCATTTTGAACGTTTAAATAACAAGAAAAAGAAGAAGGAAAATATGCAACAAGTTGGAAGCGTTTTAGGAGCATGGTATTTTGAAGAATTACTCAAGAAGAAGTATCAAACATTCATTAATGAAGTTTTGGCTGAAAATATCAAAGAAAGAGCCAATGCTTTGGATGTTGTGACAATAAGAACTATGAGAAATATTCGTGACTTGATTAAGGCTAGTCCAGAAAGGAGAGATACTTTAATTGTTCTCTTGGTCACAAAGTTTGCTGATCCAAAGAATTCTATTAATGCCAGAGCATTGTACTATTTGACTGCTCTCGTCAATTCTCGAGTTGAAAACAATCCTCACTTGGTTACCTCATTGGACAAGATGTTCTTGTGTAAATCAGTTTGTGAATTTTTGTTAAATAACAAGATGGATGCTTCAAAGAGAGGTTTCGCTGCATCTTTCTTAACAAACATGACTTATACACCTGAACACGATGCTGATGTTGCCGATTTTGTTTTGAAGAGTTGTGTTGATGTTTTAAAGGGTGAATATTTGGATTTGGTTAAATCTCAAAAGAAGAAGAAGAAGGAAGACAAGACTCAAAATCTTACAAATACTAACTTCCTTGGATCTTTGCTTTCAGGCATGTTCAAGAGTTTAAAACATACCAAGACAATGTTCTCACCTGATGAAGATACCCTCAATTTACTTTTCAAGATTGCCAGAATTACTCCATTGCTTACTGCTGTTAATGCCTGTAAATTAATTTACTCTATTGCTTTTATTTCCAATGATGAACGAACGCTGACACGTTTCTACACCTTGCTTTACGATAAATTACTTGATGAAGGACATACTGGTTTCAAGGTTCAAAACTTGTTGTTGGTTGTCTATGAAACAGTTCGTGAAGATTTGAATCTCAAGAGAGTTGCTGCTTTCTGTAAGAGAATTTTACAAAGTTGTTTCACTTGTTCAAATCCAGGTTACAGTGCTGCTGTTCTCATGGTTATTGATCAAATTCTTAAGGTTAAACCTGGTCTTCATTTGAGTATGATTCAACAAAAGAACTTTTTGACACCTAAGAAATCCGATGGTTCTAAAGATATGGAAGATGATGAAGAAGAAGCATTCGAAGATTTTGATGATGAAGAAGAAGCTGAAGCCAAGAAGGTTGAAACAAGAGTTCTCTCAACAAAGGATGAATCTGTTAAAATTGTTGGTAATGAAATTGTTATCGATGGATTTGCTCCAAAGAAGACATCTGAAGGATCTGAAAAGCAAGTTGATTCAAAGAAGAAGACTGTTGCTTCACAAAAGGCCAGAGGTACTAATCCATTCACAGAAAGCAGTGATTATGACCCAACAACTCCAAAACCAGAAGCTGCCAATGCCTTGACAACTGGTTTATGGGAACTCAACATTCTCAAGCATCATTTCCATCCAAGTGTTGCTGAATTCGTTGATCACATCTTTTCTCAATCAGGTAAAACTCTCTACAAGGGTAACCCAATTGTTGACTTCTCAACCACTGCCTTCATTGACAAGATGATGTTCAAGCCAGTTTCTAAGAAGGCCATGAAGGAAAAGGGTTCAGGTTTGTTCTCCAAGTCAAAGGCCGCTCAAGCTGCTGAAAGAGTTATCAGAGGAGCTTCCGGTGTTAACACTAAGGACTTTGCTGAGTTGCCAGACGAATTAGTTAAGGCTGATGAACGATTCTTCCACAAGTTTATGGTTGAAAAGTTCAAGAGAAAGGATGAACTCGAAAAGGAAAGAGAAGCAAGGGAAGAAAAGAAGAAACTTTCAAAGGGAAGAGAGGAAGAATTCCTTGCTGCCATGGATGACAACTTTAGTGACGATGAAGATCCATTCAATGAAATGGACGACGAGCAAGTCATGGAACTTTTGCAACAACAAGAAAGTGACGATGAAGATACCATGCCAGGTGAAACTGAAGGTTATGGCTTTGATATCACAACAGTTTCTGACAAGGCAAATAGAGACGAAGTTGCCCAATTGATGGACGACGATGAAGACGAACTTCTCCAACAAGAAAAGGAAGAACTCCAAAGAGAAAAGAATCCAGAACAAGGTAACAAGAAGAGAAAACAAAAGCCAACAACTAAGGCTCCTGCTCAAAACAAGAATAAGAAACAAAAGAGAAATAAATAAGTGTTTTAAGCAATTTGTTCAGGATCCCAACAAACTCTAACTTCATCAGAAACTAAAGAGTCCAATCTACTCAATCTGGTTTGGTCATCAATGATACCAGCTGCAAAGTCTGTAACTGCCTTGAAATTATCTTCCATGTGATTTCTCTTGACACTTCTTGGCAAAATGACATGTCCCTTCTGTAAAATCCATTGCAAACATTCTCTAGAAGTGACTTCACCATATTTTCCTGTCATTAATTCACCATGAGCAAGTGGAGAATAAGCTTGAATGACAATGTTGTTTTCCTTGCATAATTTTTCCAATTCCTTATGAGTTTTGTAAAGCAATGGGTGATATTCAATCTGATTTACGTGTGGAATTATGCCATTATCTCTAGACTTGATATCCTCCAATAATTCATTCATATGTTTCAATGTAAAATTACTGACACCAATAGATTTTGCCTTTCCTTCCCTGTACAAATTTTCCAAAGCGCGCCATGTTGCCAATCTATTAATCCTATTTTGATCGCTGTTAACCTTTAATTTACTTGTTCCAGGCCAGTGAATTAAATAACTTCAACATTTCCGAAATAATAATTAATTCTCACTTCTCGGATTCTACACTACTTACCAATCCACATAATCAGTTTGCAAATCACTCAGGGATTGGAAAAATGTTTCTCTAATCATTTCTTCGGAATGTACCTTTGTTGGAGGTAATTTACTAGTAATAAATAAATTCTCTCTTTTAATATTGGTTTTTCCGTAAATTTCCTGTAATTTAGTTCCTATTAATTTCTCATTATAATAAATAAAAGCAGTATCAATATGAAGATATCCAATATCAATAGCATGTTCAATTACTTCTTCACATTCTGGTGATTTATTAACTTCCCAAGTGCCCAATCCGACAATTGGCATGGCAAGTCCATTGTGTAACATAACATTAGGTATCTGCAAATTGCTCATTTTTTTTGTAAAGCTTTTGAAAATATTTAATTTTTAATAAAAAGTTAAATTACCCGCTAAACCCTTTTCGCAAATGCTGGCTTGACTTTTAACGATTTTTTGTTAATGGATTTTTGCGATGTGAGCGAAATGTAGAATTGCCCAAGCTCGACTTGTAAATTTTTTCGAAAGTATTTGAAATTTCACCAAGTCTTGAAATTAATAAAGTCAAATATTAAATGTATTGATTGTTGTAATATACTTGTTAGGCCTGTTTGGAAGGGTCAAGAATAACACACGGAACCCTTTTTCCTTGATATCTCAATGATACGTTTCGGTTCTTCAATAGCAAGCTGTATTGAAGAAAAGTCATTATAAAAGGACTCAACCTGACAAACCTTCTTTGTTTTTGTATCAAAGCATCTCGTTTCTTACTCACTACATAGTTGCCAGCAATACATTGTCCTGAATTTAAGGGTTCATTCAGATCAAGAAGATCACATAATTGACAAGTATCATAATACGTAATGGATTCTATTGAACTTGTTCTGCAGGTGTTAAAGGATTAGCAAGATTTGTTTCCGTAAAGAAGGACCTTCAAATTTTCTGTGAACTGAACTTGTAAAATGCTGTTGATTATACTGCCCTTTAGCATGAATTCTGCCTTTTTGGAGAAGGACTCATTTTCACTCTTTCAACAACATATGTTCCAATTCAGCAAGATATTAAATCAGCGAATAAGATTTGTGAAGAAATGAAGGATATTTTTGTTTCAGGAAGAGGAGATCGAATTTCTCCCAATAAAGAACTGGAATCATGGCCATCATATCCTGCAATATTCATTCATATAATACATGCATAGAATCATAGCCACAAATTTGAGAGAGTTGCCTTTCAATCTTGATCTAAAATTGGAGATTTTGATTTCATGCCTTGATCAGATTCGGATTCAGATTCAGATAATAACTAAGTCTGGTACACTCAAAGTCTAAAATCAAGATATCATCCAATTATCGCAGTTGACTATTCAACATGACGATCAAGTAATAGTGTTGAAATTTGTGAGCTTCCGAGAGAAC